GAAATTCCTGACTATTAATTATGTTATTTCAGACATCCTTTGATCGAAGCTTTTAAAGGTTTGGGTTAGATTTTCGCTCAAGAGAAATGAATAATAAAGAAGTTAGAAAAGGGAAATATTTTTCGAAGTGTTTTCCCAATTAAATAATTATTTAGTTAGCTTTTCTATACATTTTCATTCTTTTTGTGACGTTATGTGTTAGGCTTTGTGTCTTTATATTTTATCCCAAATACTTGTATATTATTAATGGGCATTTTGTCATTTTTTTCAGCTGTAATTGTTCATTAAAGGTGCAGCCTATATGCAAGACTAAGAAGCAGATCATTAAGCACCATGGATGACAAGGAAACAACTTACATATATTCGTATTACTTCCTTATCTTCTTGTTCGTCTGACTTCTACCTTTTACTTTTGCCAGACTCGAGCTCGTAGTTCTCGGGCAAGTCATTATACCCCGCTACAGGGTTAACACATCATCAACATCCACAACTTGATCATGTTCATGATCATGGACATGAACTCGACTGTGTTGCTGGTTACACGATAGCTGCTGCTGCTGCTGGGCCTATCAGCCAGTACGAGTACTCGTAGCTCTGCCAGAGCAATTATGATCCGCTAGTTTGACTTTACTCTCAGTTAGCTTGCTCAGAGGCATGTCAACGCCTAGGACTGTGATGGGTGGCGATGGGTGGCACCCAGACAATCCATTCCGGAATTCTTGGAAGTGCTTCTCGGGCAGCGATCCCCGATGCGATTTCCCATTGGCAAAGGTTGGGAAAAAAACGTCCCAAGTCCCAACCCACTTATGCAAAATGAACGGGCGAGATTTATTTTAATCATTGTTGTGCCTCTGTGCCGAAGTGTATAGTAAAAGTGAAATTGCTCCCCGGCTCGACTGAGAGATATATGCAGCCGGTGCTGATGTAGTGGAGCTAGTGGTGCTAGTGGTCTCGGAGATGGTGGTGGTGGCAAATTATGAAATTAGTATTATGTGAAACGGAGTTAAAAGTGTGATTAAACTGGAGCTGCAGTCAAAGTCAAAGCAGAAACAACACAGCCAGCAGAAAAAAACATGCGAGTACACATGTATATAGAGCATAAAAACTCGTATACTTATACTCGTACGCCTGCCGCATAATAAGACCCCACAAACCATCGTCAAGACAATGAAAGTCAACTAAGTACCCCAGTGTGTGTTGGGCTGTTTGTGTGGGGGGCAATTAATATCATTTCAGCTTGGATACGAGCGGCATGGCAAACTCCCCACTCAGCAATGGGAGGGAGTCGGCGACTCTTTTCCAAGTGAGCGATTTGCCCAAATTGAGATGCGTTCGTCAAAGGTTAGACACTTTGATGCTCAGTTGGAAATGGAACAACAAGAACAAACTATTAACTTAACTATTTGAGAGGGCATTGAATATTTATGCAATTTGTTCTGTAATATTCTTAAATTCTAACAAATCTAAATTTATTTTCATTTTATTAAATTTTATTTCCGGGCTAGTCTGAGTATCAATGGGTCTCTCCACTCTTGCAGACAGGCATCTTTATTATTTTTGTGTGCCTGTGTAATCGATGTGGCTTCCTGAAAGTCAATGAATTTTGTACATTTTCTTGAATTTCTGCAACTGTAAAATTCTTGTGCTCGCAGCGTGCTTATCATCGAATCTGCATGCCCCTGGCTACCCTCGGTGTAGTAGAGACGAGCAAGCGACAGCAAAACAACGAAAAAAACAAACCACAATCCCTGGCTTGGCTTATTAGCAGTGGCACTTAGAACCAACAGAGTCTGCAGCTGAAGCCGCTGGGGCTCGGCACGAAACGGCAAGGCAAGGCAAGGCAGGGAGAAAGTCATCCATCTGAATGCACATAGAGACATTGCGTTGTCACCTGTCACCCCCGCCGCAAAACCGCAAGCGCAGTCAAGTTTGTTGCCCAAGTCTTTTGTTCTGCAAATGCAACAGCAGCAGCAGCAGCAGCAGCAACAACAAAAAACTCATCTCGCTAGACTTGGGCTAATGGAAAATTGCGTACGGCTTCCGTTGCGGTTAAAATTTCAATCGTAATCAAAGAAATTTCCAAGTGCCCCGGGCATGGGGCATGGGTAAGGAGCAGGGGCAGGGCGGCAGCGGCAGGAGCATTGCCCAAAAGCTGACTGAAAATGATTTTGATTTTTCGATAAAATCATCGTACATGAAGCCACATGAGGCCATAAAAAATAAGAGCCAAAGAAAATATATGAATAAAAGAAAATGAGCTGCTTCGGCAATTAATAGACCATGAACATTTTGCTAGACGAAAGAAAATTGCACAAAGCAAAATTAAGCCTCCTCATCTTAACTTTGACTAATGCGCACTTATCAAGTAAGATCCACAAATAAAAGATCCGCAAAAAGAAGAAGACTTTCATTCCGAAAAGTATCTTTTGAATATGAATCTATAAATATGAATACTCGTCTGAATGAGCGGACTGTTCACTTGCTAATGAGTTTTTTACAATTAACTTAAATTGGAACATATATATTTATATTTAAATATATATTTATATTTATTTATGTTTTTATTTAATTTTATTTATTTTTATTTTTGACAACTGTGTCCTGTCTGTAAGACCTCCTTTTTCTATCTTTCTGTTAGTTCCTTGTATTACCATATTTAATTACTTATATATATATATGTATTTACTTTCCGATGGTATTTTTAAAACTTACCGTTCAAATCTTTTCAAATATTTATAAGAACTTTCGATCTATTGGCGCCTTGTATTCCTCTTTGCAGTACGATTGTCGTTAAGTTATGATTCAGCAAACACTTATCATATTTATCTTATTTTTTCATGTAGCTTGGTAATGAAATTTTTTCAACTTCAAACATTTATAAATAGTTGCCGACAATGATTAACGATTATGAAAAGCAACAGCAAAAAAATAAACAAAACACCGCAAAAACCTAAGGTGTCACGCACTTTAAGTTGGATTCACCCTGGACTCGAGGACTGTGTTCACTTATGATGGGACCAACGGAGTGGGCGGGAGGACACGGAGGACTGAGGCGATAAATCATCTGGAAAATGCACGACTCGCGACAAAGACGTTGTCGAAGATGACGACAGCGCGACGGCAGGTGCGCCAGCGATCCGTTCAAACACGTTTTCCAGTTACAACGTTGGCAACGGAATGATTTGGCCAAATCTGCAGCGGCTGAAATGAAGCCCGGCCTGGCTCCAAAAATTAAACGAAAGAGCGAAAGGCAACACAGAGAGTCAGTATCAGAGACTTCCAGCTGGCGACTCAGTGACTGTGCCCGAAGAAAGCCAAAGAGATGTGAGAGCCAGAGGCTTTAGCCTCTCTCTTTCTCTTGCACTTGCATTGAGACGATGGGGAGAGCGGCCGCTGGCTTACACTTTGAATACCCTACAACAAATTTGATCTAGGCATGAACAAAACTGTTTGGCTGTCATCTGGCTGCAGCTTCTGTTTGGTAGAGTGAAAACCGCCAGCTCGCATAAATTTCCATCTGCTATTGACAGCTCCAATTTTCCAACTACGCTCCATCAGCAGCTTCTTAATGCCCAGCACATTTGCCCCACTCGATTTCACTGTATTAAGTCATTAGTTTTGAATGATTTGCTTGACAAGTCTTGTCATAATTCTTGGCCTAATTGAAGTGTTTAATTGGATTGGAAAAGAAGGAAGAGAAGAGATGAATACGATGAGGATACACAGATCCAGTTCTGAATTTGATGTGCCTGATATAGCCATCTGAAAGCAATTACTTGGGATGGAGATTGTTACGACTGCATTGTTGTCATAAAAGTTAAATTTAAATAGAAATAAAACTTGGCATCGAGCAATCGATATCAATATCTTGGAAGTCTTTGCATAGAGATAATATTTTACATTATAAATATATCTTCATATGTGGTAGAGGAATTTATCGAAGCTTTTGCATAGTTTCTTTTACATTTTTTGTTTCTTTGGTTCAAGATTAGCTGCTGATCTTGATAATTCATTTAAACTGCCATACAAAATGCACTTTGTGGTCGTCTCCTCTTTTCTATAAGCTATCCAAATCATAATACTTCAAGGATAATGATTCTACAAACACAAAAACGAATTTGTTTTATCTCTCTCTCAATGTATAATATTTCTGGTTCCGTCCGCAAGATATTTGACTGTTTTTGATTCAAAGGACCGCCAACACTTAGGCTCAAACTTTACAGAAACTGGTCGAGTTTCGTGGGAAATCTTTTTGGGAAAACGCTGCCGTGTTTGTTATCCGAAATTTTGTAAAAATCATTGGAGTTTGCTTCCCTTCTCCCCCCCAATTCGTTGTGTGTGTTTGTTGAGATTTCCATTTCTGTATGTTTGTCCGGTTTATGAGTTGCATTTCTGCACTTTCGGTTGCATAAACAATTTTCTCACTTTCAAAAAAATAACATAAACCAACAGAAAAAAAAAACAAAGCAAGACAAGCAGTGGGTGGGTGGATCGCCCACGCAGTGGAGTTGGGCAACTGATTGTGGCCATTGCTGGGCATAAACTGGCCACATAGCGTCCACTTGGGGCGCCTTTTAAGCGCCAGCTGGCGGGGAGGTGTGAGGAGCGCGTAGTGTGGGGAGCAAATCGGAAGAAGCCCACAGGCGAAAATCGGTGATGGCTAATTGCCGCTTTGCAATTAATTTAAAACTTTTAATTAAAGCCAAGGAAAACAAAGCGAGAAACAAGATTGTGCAAAGCGTCAAAGCGTCAAAAAGTTAAAGATAAATATGAGTTCAGGTCGAAACTATTGAGCGAAGAGTTGTACCAGAGAGAATCTAATGATTGAGCAGGGCAAATTGATGTTTTGGTTTTTCGCTTTTTTTTGGCTTTTCAAATTGAATTTTTTCGTTGTTGTATGTTGCCGAATCTTTCGTCTTGTTGGGTAGCCTGAGAAGATCATTAGCACAAGACTTGGACTATAAATGGCGATGTCTCTAGATGGGAAGGCATCACAAACCATTGGATCTCAGCTCTGAGAACAATCTCAACAAATCTCAAATCTCGAATCGGAATCAAAGTCTCCTCCCAGAATGAAGGCAAGAACCACGCAACTCAAAGGATCCACATCCACCAAGCCGTCTGGACTGCAGCTTAATCTTTGTGCTCTTTTCGCAGGTATTCGTCTGCTTGTTGGCCTCCCTGACACTGGCTAATGCTGGCGGCTTCCGCGGCGGTGCGGGTGCGGGTGGTGCTGGCGGTGGCGGCGGTGGCTATCTGCCCGGCGGAGGACGTGGAGGCGGCGGCTTTGGCGGCCGATCTGCCAATGGAGCTGGACTCGTCTCGCATGTCTCGCAGTCCCATGGCAACACCAAGGTCCATATTGGAGGACAAGGACAAGGCGGTGGTGCTGCCTACGGCGGCGGTGGAGCTGCATCTTATGGAGGCGGCGCAGGCGGTGGCTATGGCGGTGGTGCTGGAGGACGCGGCGCAGCCTGGCAAGGATCTGGAGCTGGTGGAGGACGCGGTGCCGGCGGCTGGCAAGGAGCAGGAGGAGCGGGCGGTGCTGGCGGCTGGCAGGGAGCAGGAGGAGCTGGCAGTGCTGGCGGCTGGCAGGGAGCTGGAGGAGCGGGCGGTGCTGGTGGCTGGCAGGGAGCAGGAGGAGCTGGCGGTGCCGGTGGCTGGCAGGGAGCAGGAGGAGCGGGCGGTGCCGGTGGCGGTGGCAATGCCTGGGGCAACCCCGCTGAGTTCGATTACACCGTTAGCCATGCCTCAAGCGCTGGCGGCGGTTCCTATGGTGGTGCTGCTCGTGGTGCTGCTGCTGGCGGTGGCTATGGCGGTGGTTCCCGTGGCGGTGCTGGCTGGTGGAACGATTAGACATTTGAAACTGTAACGAACTCCTGAATTTGAACCCAATAAATTACAAATAATCAACCCAATGCAAAAGTCCGTTCCATAAATTATTTGAATGCTGAAAAAGCTCAACAGGTAAGACAGACGACTCGCCCAGCTTTATCGACAGATGGCAGACTTAAACGTTAAACTTTCTTTGGTGGTTGTGAGCCTGGCTTCAAAGCTTGTGCAGTGCAGTGCAGCAAAGCTTATAAAGTCGCGACTGAAGCTTTGGCTTTGCTATATCGGCGCATTGAGCATCACTCTAAAGCTCTACTAAGTTGCCATTGAATGGATCCATTAATGGATCCATTGGGAGAAGTCCCATTCAATCGCATCAAATGCTGCCTGCCGAAAAAGAGTGTAAGGCAGATGCCTGTACGTATGCCTGTAGAGAGCTATTCCACACGACTCTTCATACCCTTTGAGCAATTTTATGAATGCTTGATTTACACTTTGAAATTTTCCAGCATGAGCAGGCTTAACTGTAGCTCGCAAAGCTCATCGCAGCTTCACAGACAGAGGGCGCTGCTGTCGAGTTCGTTGCTCAAGTCTTTTGTTCATTGGCTGCCAAATAAAACCCGTTTGCAGCTGTGCATTTTACGCTCTGCCCTTGTCGGGGGACTGCTGAAGGTCAATGTCAGTGCGACGGAAAGCGAAAGTAGCTGTTGGAAAGTGTTTCAAAAGGAGTGAGGGATGTGTCCACGACGATAAGGGTTCAGTTGAGGGAAGACAAAACAGTTTCAAGCAAATCCCTGAAGCCTATGACACAAGGCAGACTGTGTTTTCCGCCTTTACCAAGCACATGTACCTATGTTTGTATGTAGTGGAACATTCGATTGGTTGTCATTGATTTATCGCATACGGGTACGTATCGTACGGGTACCATGGAAATGTATTTGCTTGCCTTTTCGGTGTTTTTGTTGTTGTTGTCTTTTTGTTTTACTTCCGCTGGCCGCCTTTGTTTGGCTTTGGATTTCATCGCTTTTCTTTGTTTGCCTTTGTCTTTGTGCGTTTTTATTCGGCACTTGATAATGATGAAGTTGCGATCGGCGGCGGTGTCGGTGTCGGTGTCGGCGTCAACGAGTCTCGACTGGGTTCGTTCGATTTGCCATGGCTTTTTTCGGATCTTGGTATGGGTTTGGCTCTGAGCTCAGAGTGCCTTGGCACTCGGCAGGCACAAATTAAATTACGTTTTGTCTGTTTGCCTATACAAAATTGGTAATCGGTTTTATGTACAAAAGTCTGAACAAATAATGCATTCATGTGTGCGTCGTAGGGGGGTCCGGATGGAAATCATTTCATTGATCATTGAACACATCTTTTGGGCATCTTTTGAATCTTTAAAATATAGAAATATCTCTGGCATATAAATATATATATATATTAATGTGTAGTTTAGAGTATTAGTTTTGATATAAGAATCCACAAATGGGCATAGACTTGGTCAGACTCAAACAAAATCATTTAATTATTATATTGATAGCAATTTATTCATTTTAATTCATGGATATAATGATATTATTAAGAACAAAGTGAAACTAACTCTTGCGCCGATCCTTTATGAATCGTATCAATCATTTCCAGCTATGTATTTTCCCAAGAGTTATGTTCGCACGATGCCAGTGTTGGCTGGAATAATGTAATCGATTCAACTGCAATTAACAATCGAAGTTTTATGACTCCCCCGATGCATCGATGATGTTCTGGCCATGCAGTATAATTTGCTTATATTTATGTGAGTCGATCTGCCATCAATTAGCTGTTCAGCCCCCTCTTGAGCTTCAACGATAGTAAACTAATGTATGTGGATGGAATACATACTCGTACATATGTACATATGTGTATGCAGCATGTGAGATGGTTATTTATGTGTTTGCCTAATGGCCATAAAAGGGGAGTGCGATTGCACTTGCAATTTTCTATGCAAACTTGCAAATTTGCTTGGATTTGAATTAATGCGAGAGACCAAACGATTGAAATATTAATTATTGTACTTAGATATTACCCACCAAAGATTTATGAGTTATCATCAATTTCAGTTTTAATGTCCAGCCATTGCCACAGACTCTGATGCCCGCCCGCCCTTTCTGATGGGATGATGACTCTGCCACAGCTTGTTCCCTGCACCTCACCCCTTCAGCATAAATATCATATTTTTTCCAGCATTACTCGTATTTTCCATTCACTTTTGTGGCAAACATTCAGCAATAATTTTGGATTCAGTTGGCTGTTGGTTGTTGGCTGCTGGCTGCTGGCTTCTATTTGCACTTCTGTTTACTATTGCACTGGTAATTTCATTTGGGTACATAGCCCGTAATTAAATATGTTAATTCTGTTGGTTTAATGGAAGCCTTCAGCACTTTGAAGGCAAAACGATGGGAAATACTCGGAGTTTTTGCTGTTGTTGTTTCGGTTTGTAAATTTACTCTATTGTAAGCTATATCTATATGCATATATTCGCATCTTGATCTAACAATAGGGCAGACATGTGTTAGTGGGCGGGGATGGGGATGGGGATGCCACACAAACGGGTTAATGTTTGCGTTGCTCTTCCGAAATCATTGCCTTGGATCACAGCTGAACTGGTCTGGTCTGCTCTGAGAGTGGGTTAATGAGGAAACCAGCTACGTTTCGGCCAGTGAGACGTTCTTATGCCTGGGGGGAAAATTCGAGACTCATCGAAAATTCGAATATTGTTTTGATTTAAATTGACTTGCTATTGAGTGTCTTTGTGTCTTTGTGTGTGTTCCTTCTTTTCAGAATAACTAAAATACAAGAGGCGCTCTTGTTCCCAGGCATGCTCACCAAAACAAGATATTTCCTCTGCCTCTATGAGGCCAGGAATTACGACAATCTAGTGACAATATCTTTATTTTTGACTAGAACATAACATCCACCAATTTGCGTAGTCAAAAATTTAGTCTGCCTTGTCTACCTTTGACTCTAATTGTACCTGAGGTCTAGGCAGGTCCTAGGTCTAGGAACTGCAGAGAGAAAGACCAGCATTGATCGTTTATTTTGTAGGTATATATTCGTATATGAGTTGAATATAAATCCATATCAGGAAACCATCAAATGGCAAGCTTAATGGCGGTCCAAAGTTGTCCAGTATTGCCTATCCGATCTTCTATCTTTTTTAAAAGCAATCTTTCAACACACGTAAGGTATTAGCTGGCTGCCAACTCGTTTCAGGCTTAGTTGATAAATGTACCTATATGTGTTCAATACTCCAGAAGCGATCTGTTGATCTGTCGATCTGTCGATCTGTCGTTAGGTCGGCAGCTTACAGCTTGAAATAGTGGCTGAACCATAATGATGAAGAATAATGCGATTATGAATATTCAACGGCAGCAAACGAGTATGTAAATGCCAAATAGATAAACGGACTTGCGCTACAGCAACAATATCTTCTTCTGAATTTTGTGTGTTCGGCTTCGTCTCTTCGTTTCGCATAAATTTCAATCGGCTGAGGCGTGTGCTGAAGAAGTGCATTGAACCCATGGGGCCCATTTCGTGGGCGGGCGACAGAATAAGTGAGATTTGTTTGCATTTAGTTTAGTACCGATAACTAGAGAGAAAACGCAAGCCTATGGCTCTCGCTGACCATTTCCAGCAAGCGGCTATGCAAATATATGCCAGTCCGAGACATAGAAATAGAATCACGGCCCACAGCTTGCCAACCGGTTTAGCGTATTAATAGGCGGTGATGTGAAGTCGAAGTCTCCCAGCGCTAGAACTAAGCCTCAAGTGAGATACACAAACATAGATAAGTGGGTATACAATCAATACTTAACTAGGCCGTAGAGCGGAGTGGACGGACCCTAGTTCTAAGTAAAGTATCTTCCTGATTTGCCTTCTTGTATGTATTGTAGCTGTGGGCAGCAGGCCTTGGGACGAGCTTTACCAGAACACCCAAAATCATCCCCAAGTTGGATCCATTAATCAGTCTGACACTTTGCGTTGCTTCTGCTTCTGCTTCTGCTTTGACTCTGCCTCTGTTGCTGCCTCTGTTGCTGCCTCTGTCGCTGCCTTTGGCTGATGCTCGACGCTGGCCAACTGACAAAACATTGATATGTTGATATGTGGATTGTTGTTAGCCGCGTTGTTTGCTGCGCTGATTATATGCCGATAATTTGTTTGACTTTCGGGCATAGGCACCGTGGTTGGTGCACTTCTCAAAAGCGGAAATCGAACATTACAAACACAATTGCAACGGGCATATACCTAACATTTATATACAGCATGAAAGAGGCAAAATAAAGTGTGTGCTTCGATGCTCAGACCGCATAAAGAGGAGTTCGTAGGAGTTCAGGTGCTCTGTGGATCCAGACAGCTGTAACTTATATTAAAGAGACTGTACGAACTTTTGCTGCACCCATGTGAGTCAGGTTCGGTTGAAAATTAAAAAATTGGGACAGGAGCGTCATTCTGATGCTGATAATTTTTAGTTATTAATTTCATAATTCACTTTGAATGGGTTTAAAGTGATTAAGTATCAAGTGGGTAGAGCACTCCAATTTCGATTAAACTTTTTTGTATAATAAAATTAACAGTTTGGGAGATAAATTTTATGGCTACTCGTAACACCTAAATATATTTTTAATATTAGTGACAAACCTACATATGTAAGTCCACAGAGAAAGCCCAAATTATGCTCATTCAGCTAAGAATTAATTGATAAATATTCCAAAATGCACTCCCTGCATGCCCAACTCTAATTCAATGCTATGTACCACTGTGTAGTCTTGAGACAAAACAAGAGATGAAGATGCCAAGCCGCAGACCAAGTCGCGCATGCGCAAAGATTAGCATAATCAAACAAAAGAACTGCCGGCATCCAAGCATCAAAGCATCCGAGCATCCGAGCATCCATAGCCAGCACCAAACATATGGTCACACGGACATGGGCATCTTCGGCATCAGATCTGATCGGTTCGGTTCGATCCGCTTCGGCTCGTATCGGCTCGGATCGGATCGGCATGGAAATGTGGGTTATTATGAAATCGATGGATAGCGTGCTGCTGCTGCTGCTGCTGCGGCGTCTATCAATGGCTTCTAATTGGGTAAGGTGAGGCGTTCGGCATTCTCTCTCCATCTCTGTCTGGCCAGCAGCATCTTCAATTCCGATTCCGATTGCGATTGCTTCGATTTCGGGGTATAAATGTGCGTGAGTCTGCCGATTTTGGAATTAGTCAACGCTTCCGCTTCTCTTCGTCAGCAGTCAGCAGTCAGCAAGTCAACACTACAGCTTCGAGATGAAACCCTTTGCCTGCATTCTTGTGATCCTCGCCACCATCCTGGCCGTCGGCCAGGCCTCGCTCGGCGGTCTGCTTGGCGGTGGCGGCGGCGGCGGCGGGGGTGGCGGCGGTGCTGGCGGCATTGCCCAGCTCCTGCAGAGCAAATTGGGCGGTCTCGGCGGTGGACTTGGAGGAGGACAAGGCGGTGGATACTCTGGCGGCGGCGGCGGCGGCGGCGGATACTCCGGCGGTGGTGGATACTCCGGCGGCAGTGGATACTCCGGCGGCGGTGGATACTCTGGCGGCGGTGGATACTCTGCCCCAGCTCCCAGGCCCGTGGAGAAGGTCATCATTGTCAAGGTCATCAGCGAGGGACAGTCCGGAGGAGGCTACTCCGGCGGCCAGTCTGGTGGCTGGTCCAATGGCGGCCAGTCTGGCGGCTACTCCGGCGGCTACTCCGGCGCCCAGTCTGGCGGTTACTCCGGCGGCCAGTCTGGTGGCTGGAACAAGGGCTGGTAAATAATCCACCCAAGTCCCGACCCCACCCCACCCCACCCCACCAACAAAATACCCTGAAGCCCTTTCCCTCCCTCCCCACAACCATCCAAATTTAGTTCAAACTGACAACCAAAAAGCTATCCGAAGAAGGAGAAGAAAAACGTCAAAACTCCTTCAATAGCTTAAGATTAATTTTTTTTTTATTTTTTAGTACACATGTTTTTTTTAACATATATAATAGATACTTTTTGCTAGAATTTATGCAATCTGCAAGAAAAGAATTTCCATTTTTAATTGCGACTATTTATAATAGACAACCGGTTGGGGTTCTGGGGAGGTTCTGCGGCGGTTCTGCGGCGGTTCTGCGGCTTCCTGCTTTGACCCAATGCCTGAGGTCATCATTGGCGGCGATGCCACCAGTCAGTCAGTAAGTCAGTCGGTAATGGGACAGGGACTGTTGGGTTAGCTCTCAATTGAAGTCCGAACAAAGGCAAATCAATTTGGGCCGACTGGCACTTGGAACGGTGCAGAAAATTGCGCAAGCAAAGTGCACTGCCATTGTGATCCGCTGAACTGCTGATCTGTGTCTGTTCTGTGGCAATTGATTGATCACCAATCTCGGTCAGCCAGTCAGCCATTCAACCATTCAGTCTGGCACTCAGTTGCTCGCACAAAAGGCCCAAATTTGATTTTTATGCCGCCCATGAAAATGAAACGCAAAACGTGAAAAAGTCAAAAGGTTTAAGCGGTTTTCAAAGTGGCTTTAACTTCAGCCACCATAATGCCAGCTCCGTGAATTGCAGCACCAAATCCATCAATGCACAGAAGCATAGCTGCAGATATACAGCGCTGATCTTGTACAAAATCGTTTGAATTACATATTTTAATTGGCATTTGATTCAGAATCAGTTTCATCAGGATCTAAATGATGCATGTGGCCATTTTCCAGGAGCCTTTCGACTAAACTAAATGGAGTTAAAGGAACCAAAAGTCCTTCTCCCTTAAATGCTTTATATATTACATTTAAATCAAAATTGGTTTGCATTATGGCTGACCATGACACTTGGAAAGGCAAAGAGCTAGAAGAACGCACTTCAGTTCAGAGCTACATTGAAAAAGAAAAATGCATAGGAGCTGCTCGTAACTTTGCCACACCGAAAATAAATGACCGATGTTTAAATTCATTTAAGCAAAAAATGCGGTCGTTCAAAGCAAACGTTTCGTAACCGCTGAATCTACTCTTAGAACCATGCATTTTTCACTACAGCTTTGTGCTGCGTGGAGATCAGATTCTTGCCCTGAAATATTCTCTACTTCTAGGGAAGAATTTCGAATAATTTACTTGTTATTCTCAGCATCCCTTTCCCTGTCCTTGGTCCCCTTTTCTTGGGTTCTGCACTGAAAATCGAATATGGTGCTACGATCGCTAATCCGACACCAGTCTTTTGCATCGGGATAAGTTATGTGTCAACTCATAAAGAACACAAAGTTGCACCTAAAAATTAACCCAAGCTGATATCGATTGATTGATTGATTGATTGATCGATTGTTTTGCGAAGCTATTTGCCAGACAGCACGAATTATGTGCAACCGTTGCAGCCGGTAGCCAAAGACAAACACAGCTGGCGGCACTTCCAACTCCACCACCGCCACAAGAAATCGTTCTGAGTAATGGGCAGACCATCAGGAATCGATCGAAGGCTCCCCTCAGGCACTGGCGCTGGCACTGGCACTCACTCTGGCCAGCAACTCTGCCCGAACTCAATTAAGTAGTCTGGGCTGTTACACAAAAATGGCGAGCCAATAGAAGATCATGATGCGGTGATCATGATGCGGTATCGCCATGGATCGCCATCGATGCAGTGCAGTCAGGTGCGCATGCGCAACTGAACCTGGAGGCGTTGCCGGGCAGACTGCTGGAGCAGACCCACTGTTGGCCGCTAACAAAGCGTACGAAATTGAAAGTCGATGTTGGCATAATGAGGTCCAAGCCAAGCCAAGTCAAGCCAAGACGGGCCAAGACAGACGAGCGGCAGCCAGTGCAGGCGGCTCTGGCTTTGGCAGTTTTGGCAATTACATCTGATTATACGACTCAGCCGACGACGACGACGAAGCCGAAGCTGCAGCCGATGCTGGAAGCCGCTGCCGGTGCCGGTGCTTGTGCTGATGCTGAGTCTGATGAGGCCGGCTAGAATCTTAGATGAGCTTAGCTCTGGCTCTGGCTCCGGCTCTGGCGACTGCCAGGTGGTATAAATAGCCGAGAGTGGGCCCAGTCAGAAATTAGTTAGTTCACAGCAGCTGCAGAGATGCATTCGACAACGCGACGTTTGGCCCTGGTCGGTCTCCTGATGGCTCTCGGTGTCACCGCCTATGCCAAGCCACATGGCAGCTGGAGCAGCGGAGGTGGCAGCGGCAGCGGTGGTGGAGGCTGGTCCTCGGGCGGCAACAAGATCAGCATCAGCGCCTGGCCCTCTAGCGGTGGTTGGTCCTCGGGCGGAGGAGGAGGCAGTGGCTGGCAGAGTGGCGGAGGAAGCGGCGGCTGGAAGAGTGGCGGAGGAGGAGGCAGTGGCTGGCAGAGTGGCGGAGGAGGAGGCAGTGGCTGGAAGAGTGGCGGAGGAAGCAGCGGTTGGTCCTCGGGCGGATCCTCGGGCTGGCCCAGCGGCGGTGGCGGCGGCAGCTCTGGATGGAAACTGAGCTCGGGCGGTGGCGGAGGATCCGGCTGGTCGAGTGCCTTATCTGGCCTATCCGGCTTGAAGTCCCAGGCCTTGTCCAGCCTAAGCAGCGGCTGGAAGAGCGGCGGAGGTGGACTCCTTGGAGGTGGCGGCTGGTCAAGTGGGGGAGGCGGCGGCAGCTCTGGCTGGAAGAGCGGAGGAGGCTCCTCCGGATGGTCCCTGGGCAGCAGCTCCTCGGCCTGGCCCAGCAAGAGCAGCAGTGGCTGGTCCTCAGGCGGCAGTGGTGGCGGCGGCGGCGGTGGCTGGAGCTGGTAAAGGTCTGGCGTGATCCAAATGGCAACAGGCAACAGGCAACGAGGCGACACTAGATACCACTCTGCTCAACTTGTACATAACATTTGTCTACATAAGTTTAACCCACATCTGTTTTTTTTTTTGCTTTTCTTAATATGCCAATAAATTTTACAACACTGTAATTGTGAGTGAGAGAGAACTTTACTGAAAGGAGCAACTGATCTGCGCCCAAGGACCGGTTGATCTGTTGTACAGCTTCTCGTCAAGTGTTCTCCACGAAGAGACACGCTGTGCAGGAGAGTGTACATATGTGTTTATGTATGTGTGTACCTGTAGATATCAATCCGAATCTCTAAAATTACGAGTATTATCTGTCTAGTGATACTTTTAGTTAGCCGAATTATTGCTGCTACTCGTATTTCGGTGGCGTAATAATTTGACGCAATGCGGATCTAAACGATTCTCCATCTCTGACATACTGAATTGGACACCTATGTATGTACATTGTACATACATTTGTACATACAAAGAATTAACTATTGTTGATGCCAAAGATAACTTTTGGAAGATGAAGCCACAATGGCACCATTGGGTATATTCCTGCCGTTAGTCTACTGCATATTTGTTCTCTATTGCATTACCCTTGGCCTTTTCATTAAAAGGGGTTTTTGTCTGGTGTTTGCATATAATATTTATTTTTAGCAAACCAAAACTGACTCCAGGGGGACTGACACAAGAGGGTTGACCAAAGCGTAGGACCCGCGGCAGCAACAGCAGCAGTCCAATCATCCAGATCAATCATCTTCAATGCCAGGACCTCATCTGGCTCCTGAATCCTTTATTGAATGCCACTTCTGCGAGCGTAGCAAGGCATTCTCGGTGCGCGAGAATCTCTGTCTATTTTTTCTGTACACTTCTCATTACAGAGAATTTGAGTAAAAAGGCAGTCACTAAATAGTTACAAGAAGCAGAGGTGACGGGTGGCAGACAGCTCCTCGACATTTGGCTGATTGAAAACTGCAGTCCGCTTTACGGTGAAGTCGTGAAAAACGTTTTGTATGAAGATCTCTTTGTGGATAGATCCCAGTTCGGCTACGGGTTTAATCGTAAAGCGACTCTTAATTTTATTTATTTTTTTTACTACCAAACGGACAATAAAAAATAGAAACAACCTCGTGTAAAATGCATAAAGTTGTTTATTAGTAAAAAAAAATTGAAATAGTAGAAACAGTTGGCGCAGAAACTTTGGATCAACAAAAATTAGAAGGATTATGGTGTCTCTATCTCTATGCCATGGAACACATATCAGCATCAACTGAGGGAGTATTTTGTGTGGGGGTTTGGGGTTGGAGTGGCTTACCAGCCACCACCGCCGTGCTTGCCACCGCCGCCGCCGCCTCCACCATTTCCGCCCTGCCAGGAGACTGAACTTCCGCGATTGCCGGCCAAGGACTTGCCTCCGCCGCCGCCTCCATATCCACCCTGGCCGCCGCCGCCGCCGCCATTTTGCCAGCCGCCTTGTCCACCTCTACCGCCGCCGCCGCCGCCGCCGCCATTTTGCCAGCCTCCTTGGCCGCCACCGCCATGGCCTCCTTGTCCTCCTCCTCCACCGTTCTTTTGCCAGCCGCCCTGTCCACCGCCGCCGCCGCCGCCGCCATTTTGCCAGCCGCCTTGTCCTCCGCCACCGCCGCCATTTTGCCAGCCTCCTTGGCCACCGCCGCCGCCATAGCCTCCACCTCCACCTCCACCATTCTTTTGCCAGCCTCCTTGGCCACCTCCGCCACCGCCGCCCAGCAATCCAGCCGAGGCAAAAGCGAAGAGCAGGCCGCAAACGAAGAGACCGAGTAGAGCGTTACGCATCTTGATGTGCTGGGGAAGTCCTTGGATTTGGGTTGGAATTCGAATCGAATCGGATCGGATCGGATGGGGTTGATTAACCACTGACTGGCTGGCTGACTGACTGCTGTTGGAACCTTAGCTCCACTGATGATCCAACTGGGCCCAGAGCTGCGTTTTTATAGCACTTGCCACGGAACTAAACTGGCAGAAAACACATCAGCTGAGTCATCCAGCGCCCGATTTGGCATGGAAGGTGGCCTGTTCCTTTTCCCCCGCCCCCCACCACTGCCAGACCGCCCTATTGCCTAACTCGAGAATCGCTGACGCTCCCAAAGGAAGGTTGAGAACTGCACTCGAAGTCGAGCGAAAAAGTCTACACAATGCAATTTTCTGTATGTTCAAGTACGGCCCACAAAGCGCATACGCAACGTTCGAGCATAGGAAAATCGCGTATACGCCACCGGCAACCACGACAACCACCACACCACCACCGACGCAATATCGTTGTCGAACCACTTGTAAATCGCTGAGCCATAGCTGCATCATTAATTGCAAACAGTTTACACATTTATCCAGCAGAGCCCCGCCATTTGTCTTACAAGTTTACAATATTAATTCTATGCTCTGAACATCTTTTGGCTCTGCCCAGAAGGAGAGCATTTTGATTTTATGCGCTCTTTTGCTGCACCCGCCACTCACAAATATTGCAAGAAATTAAAGCAATTTGCAGATCAAAGAAAAGGGGAAACGGAAATGTTGAAAGTAAATTAAATTAAACTGAAATAACAATTAAATAACCTGAAGGGGCTTAGCCTGGGACTACTCTTAGTTTCAGAGCGAATAATCCTGAAGCCCCAATTGGGTTATAAATTCTCAGAGACAGAGCAGTGTAGAGTCTGTTAAAAGGAACAACCTGCTTCATCTTCATCTTGGAAGTAGCCTTCACATTTATAATTAATTCTAAATAAAAGTAAAAATGGTATGAACAATGTGCGGTAAGTGCATTTCAACTAACATAAACCGCATCCATAGAGCATTCCAGTTGCGGTCATAATGAGACGATGCATATTCATATTTATGTTCATATTTTTTGTTCGTTTCGATTTTGGTGTTCCCATGCAATATTTGCGGCAATTAATCTCCATTTTCACTGCGGCCACAACCGCAGCAGCAGCAACAGCACCAGCAGCAGCAGCAGTTGCAGTGTCAGTAGTTAAATGTGTTTGACACGACTCCCATACAGTACAGTATAGCACAGCACAGCACAGCAGCCTACCCTCCCTCCCTCCATCGCAAGCATAGGCCAGAGCCGACCCACTGCGGCACACACGTACGATTCAGACAGTAGTTCAATGTCAATTTGCATGCAAACACAGCAAGATGATTGCTCAAGTGCATTACTTACCATAAATTTCATCAGCTAAACCACCGCCTGAGTCTTCTCCTCCTCCGCCGCCGCCAATTGGCTGGTAACGCATGCTGCACACATGGCAGGCACATGACCCAGAGCCAAGTCCATGTGGCGACCTCTGCCAAGCGAAGCATTGGCTGCGCACCATGGGGCAGGCTTTGAATACATTTAAGAACAATAACAATCACAATACTGTCTTCAGGGTTATAGTAAACCAGAGAAAATAACCATAATTAGCTGTAGATTAATTTCTAATAATTGTTTTTAGTGTCTAAAATATAGTCTGAACCACTGTACCCCCTGCTGGATTTTGCTTCTTTGGCTATTGATGATGTTGATGATCTCCACCTTGGGAACATCCACCGACAATAACAACAACAATAAAAACAATAGCAACAATGTTCCACAATCATTTAAAAAAATGCATAAAATAATAATAATTATTGCTCAGAGCAGAGAATCTCAGGTTCTCTCAAGTTTAGAATGTTAATTGCTAACGATCCATAATTCAAAGTTCTTCTGAATGTGTTCAGGCAGATGAGGTCGAGTCTGGGTCTGTGTCGAGAAGATTAATTCTCCCTCCCCCCCATCCCCATCCTGAATTGGACAACTTTCGAATCTTAAATGTGGGCAACCAGTGAGAATCAATGCGAAGTCAAAGCAATCAATTTACAATGCAATTTTTATTAGTTACAAAAAAAAAAAAATGTTTAAGAACAAAACAAAATATGAGTATTACAAAAAAGTTGGTAAATAAAATATAATAAAAAACATTATGATACAAATTCAGAATGAATCAAGTACAGTGCAGGCCTAGGGAGAGTGTGAGAGAGGGAGGGGGCAGGAAGGAGGCTGGGATTGGTAGGTACTGGCTTCAGGGGGTAGTTTTTTGAAGGATCTGCTGCTACTATTTACCACCAGCCGCTGTTGGAGCCGGAACCCCAGCCGCTGTTGGAGCCGGAACCCCAGCCGCTGCTGCCGCCCCAGCCTCCAGAGTTGCCCCAGCCTCCGCCAGAGTTGCCCCAGCCTCCGCTGCTGCTGCTGCCGCCCCAGGCTCCATTGTTGCTGTTGCCCCAGCCTCCACCGCCTCCGCCTCCGCCACCACCGATCTTGATTACTTTTATGATCTGTGGCTGGGAGGACCAGCCGTTGTTCCATCCACTGCTGCCGCTGTTCCAGCCACTGCTGCTGCTGCCGCCCCAAGGATTGGAGCCCCAGCCAGCGGATGAGGTACGGATGAGGCCGGCGGTGGCGCTGGCAACCAGAGCGCAGAGCACAATGAACAGCTTCATGTTGCTTGGAGTTTTGGTTGGTTGATTGGTTGGTTGGCTGTTGTCCTGATGGGGTCCTGATTGGTGGTTGGTGTGCGTCTCGAAGTGTGGCACTCGAATGATATGGATGCTTGGACAGCATTCGGTATTTATCGCAAAATTGCGTGCCCAGACAGATCTCGTCTGGGGTTGGGCAGGCATCGGGCGCGCGCGCGTCAAGTCGAGAATCCACAAAATAAATCGCTCTCGAAGGTGGGTGGATGGCAGGGGGCAGGGGGCGGGTGGATGGGCATGAGGGGTTATTGCGTTGGGTTGGTTGCCCTGGTCGGGTGATAAACAACCGAAACCAGCTGCGACATAGACACCGGGCGCACCATAGCCGACGCCGGTCGAGGTAATTGCAGTTTATTAAACCACTTTGAGCGTCCGATTCTTGACCAGGGTCAACTACTTTACAAGCCACCAGCTGACACCTCTCCCAAACGGAGCCACAGGCACAGGCACAAGCAGAAGCAGCAGCAGAAGCAGCTAGCCAACTACTCAACCAGCCATGTGGCCAAGTTGCAACATTTTTTTCGTACATAACTCACACGCTTGATGGATCATTTCCTTGCCTCGCTTGTGGCGGAAACTGCAAAAGCTGCTAGCGCTGCCTCGGAGCTTAAGCTTAAGCTTAAGTCGCGGACAGGCGGACAGGCGACAGGCGGCCTGGGTGACTGGGGGACAGCGAGCGAAGAAGCTGGCGTTGAGTGAGTCATTTGTCATGCTGGTGGATTTAGCCACAGGCAGCGACAGCCCAAAGAGACTCCAGGTGAAGGGGCCCGCCTGCAGTTGCACAGTGGAAAAATCAACCGAAAATAAGACCTCGGAGCCCTTGGCATTTCCTGCTCGTCAGCTTAAAGGGATCAGGTAAGATTGTAAGTAATCAGATCCGTTCACAAACGGGCTCCATGCCAGCATTAATAAACCGAATCGTATGGCATCCCATTTGTATGGTAATCGTGCACATTTGCAGTCATCTAATTGTCCAGCTAACATTGCAGCAACCTGATCTAGACATCAACTTTCGACACATAAAGATGCCATCTGGAATGTGGGACGGCTAGAGCATTTAGCAGGCACTAAAACAAACCCCTCCCGCCACCGCCACCGCCGCCGCCGAAAGTGAACTCATTTCCAGCTGCAAGTCAAGTCAAGTTATCCTCGCATCCCCTGACAACATTCACCAGCTTTGTGGCTTTGTGCGGCTGACCTTAGCTGACAATAAAGCATCAACTGGATGCAAAACCAGATGACATCCAATACCAATTTCCGCCACTCACCGATCCCACTGTACTTAGGCCGGGCGCCAGCGCCAGCGCTGCAGCGGCAGCGGCAGGCAGTCAGAAAAACAGACTCGAGTCAACAATCATCTCTCGGAGCTCGTTGGATGCCGTCGTTTGTGGCGACACTGCGACCTCTTTACCACAAGTTGTTTTTTCTCTTTGGCTCAGCTCGGCTTGGCGCGGGGCGCAGGGGCGCAGGAGCGGCTTACAAATAATAAACACAAATTTAATTGAATTGTCAACGCTTAGAAGGCAAATTGTATTTTTCTTATCGACCGCAATCGGGCCAGGCCAGGCCAGGCCAGGCCAACACGGAGACTGAGAAAAACAACAAAAAAAAAAGAGAAATAACAATGCCTTAATCTAGCTAAGTATGTGTACATAGATTTAGTATGTAGAGATTATTTCTGATTATGAGATTAGATTATTAGATTAGTTTTAGGACGCGCTGGGAGTCGGCGTCGGCGTCGGCGTCGAAGTTGCATCTGTGCTCGAGTCCGTCGCATCGGGGCATACGGCGCAGTGCTCATGGCTGGCCGTACGCACAGCATTCGAATGCTTGCCGTAGGGGGAAGTGCCGCTAACCTCCAGGAAGTAGTTGCCTCGAATGCTGTGCGGCACGGCGTATCCCATGGGCTGCTCGTTGCCCGGACAGCGGAGATCGCGCAGCCGCTTCAGTGAGTTGCAGCGCGTGGCCATGAAGTTGTGCTCGTTGCCGGGAAAGACAGACTCCGCGTAGTACTGCCAGGAGCGGGCGTGGGCACAGACCACCGAGAAGCAGCCCTCGGGCAACGGATTTATGCCGCCCGGATAGAAGTCCACGTCACCCAGTGGATCCTTCTTGCCCAGCACACCCGGATTGCTGTGTATCACGTCGATGAATGATGCATCGCCTCGCAGCAGTCCGGACAGAATTTCGCCCTCGTTGAAGCATGGCTTGGCCGGATCCAGGCCGGTAATGCGCGGAATCATTTTGCCTGTCAAACGATTCAGATGGCGACCCGCAGATCCGACAATGTGAGCACCCAGACTGTGGCCAATAAGGTGAATGTTTTCCACTGGCACCAGTTCCAGTAGATGGACCAGACCATGGGCAATGTTCTCGCCAATCTCCTCCGTATTAAAAGCGGACCATGTGTAAAGAGTGTCCACGAAGCGTGCCGCATCCACAGCCTAAAACAGATCAAAAATATATGCAAAATATTGGCGATTAATGATTAAAAAAAGGTCAAATTGAATCGATTTGTTACTCTGACAATTATGTCCCAAATGTAAATTTTCATTACATATTTCTTATCACTTTTCGAATGAGTTTTGCTTGGCATCAACCAAAGCCCAAGACAATCAAGCAATAATCTATCAAAGCTAAGCTAAATCTTTCTATTACACTCTCGCTTTCTGTTATCTTTTTGATTTAAAGATTGAGTTTCTTGCAACAAATTTCAGTTTAGCTTAAATGGAAAAAAGCTTCAAGCGAAGTGTTTCAGGGAATACTAATCCAGCCAGATCTTCTTGTATCTTATTCAATTTTGAATGGGAGTGCTCCCCTTTTGTTCCGCAAGCCCACAGACTTGGCTTATTAAAAGTAATCTAGTGTGTTGCCATGTTATCTTTCTAGTTGCTGGATTGCTGGATTGCTGCATAATTTTAAGGGACTAATCGCGGAGATAAACGTTCCCAAAACTTACCACAAAGTTGACATCACCGCGACAATTATAGGCCTTCGACATGACATCAATGGTGTCGGAGCCATTCACTGTGGTGGTCCAGCCGGTGGCCAAGATGACGACCTTCTTCTTGGGATCAAACTGCGGACTCTTCCACATGGATTCCGCATCGGTGAGCGGGAAATTGGTCTTGGTGCAGGTCGTCTGCAGCTGGAAGTTCATCATATTGATGTCCGGCGTAAACTTGGACTTGATCTTATGCGAGGACAGAGCCTGGGAACCTGCCGACAAATATCTCAACACTTAAATCTCCGTCTCTGGGGCGGATGCGCCTGCTGCCGTCTACTCACATATGAAGTTGAGGGAGTTGGAGACAAACTCAAAGGGATAGCCGGCAATCAGCTGCTTGCTGCCATCGAGCAGACCCTGGGGAGTGGGCAGGAGGCTGGGATCGATGATGCTCGTGCCCACGGAGCCAATCGATTCAAGGACATCGGGCACGGTCCACTCAATGCACTGAACGGGACAGGCAAACTGGAGCACAAGCAGTCCCCCCAACAACAGTAGTTGACTCCCTGCTAGCCTGTTGGCCTGGCCATGAATGCGTCTTGGTTTACCCATCCTGGACGGGAGTTGAGCGCGTACTGAGTGCCGGAAACTGCTCGACAAAAGTATTTATAGGCAGCCCGGGGGGTGCCAGTGCCTCTGTACATAGGTATATATAATTCCATATCGATGCGATGTGTTTCATGCGCATCACAGCAATCAGATAAGGTGCACTTGTCACTTAATTAGTTTCCATTTCGATCACACTCGCTCACTCACTCACTCACTCACTCTTTCACTCGATCGTTTGTTCAGCCACTTGCCGCACAGTGAGAGACGCAACCGGCAGGCAGGCAGGTCCGAGTCCGAGTCCAGAATCAGATCTGGAGATAGAGATACTCGTAGAGAGTGTGTTGTGGAGGCAGGCAACCTGCAGTCGCATGCCCAACGCTCATCTGCATAAATTTCAATTCTAGCCAAACTCAAAACTCGAAGCAGTGGCAATAGGACCCTAGCGATACGGTTAACACTCTTTCATCTTGCGGGTATTACAATCAATGACAAAGATCCCATGCCCAAGCACTTGCTGATCCCACTGGTCTGTGATCTAACGGCACCGAGGGTCGCCAGCGAACTGATTAGAGAGACATTCACACAGATTGTTTATCAATTTATGGGCAGCTCCATATACTGACGAGACACAAATTTCCTCATCCAGCTGGCAAGGTCTGCTCCCCGAGAGTGTATCAAAATATAGGCAGAATCTCACGTATACGACAACAAATGACTGCTGCTGGTTACGACGACAATGCCATATTAATGCGAACCCGTTTCCGACCCATCGGACTCACAATTCTCAACTCAATATTCCCGATCCCCACCCCAAAGGCCCATTGTTATGCTGTCGACGTGCATTTGATAATTATTGGTGGTACCCCCGGACGCCCCTTCAAAACACCGAAAATACGTCACCCCAAAATTAAGTCTAGCTTCTCTTCAATTCTAAACGCGAATCACGAGGGCAGGCGGGCTCCCCCATCAGTGCTTGGATGATGCACAGGCATGGGATATGAATTCATTGGGGGCGAATTTCTCCCTAGTCCTAGCTTGACCAGTCGAAAAATATTTATTCAATATAAGAAATAGATTACAGACTTATAGATTAAATGCAACATATCCAGAAATCTATCGAAATCTGTCATGCCAGCAGGAAATGCCTCTTCCCCAACACCACTGGAAGGCCTAACAGGCTCCGCACTGGCTATTGCTTGAGGTGAAAGTCTGCAGGTTTGCATTTTTGCCGAATGGCTCAACAGCCTTAGCATCCACATAGAAGAACCCCAGATCGCGGGCACTGGCATCGTAGCCCATGACTGTTCTGTTATCAATGCACCTGCGTCCATCCAATAGATCCGCAAACCGATTACATCGCTTACCAAGGAAGTTGTTCGTGTTCGTTCGGTACACCGACTCAGCCCAGTATTCGACGGCACGGCTATGCGAGCAGCCGATAACATCCAACCCAGCACAGCCGCTCTTGAACGGAAACAGTCCCTGGACAAAGAAATCAGCGTCGCCCACGATCTTCGGGGTGCCCAGGATTCCGGGATTCGTGTGTATGATGTCGACGAACCTGGCATCGCCGCTCCGTACGCCCGGCAGATCGTTGCCGTCGTAGAAACAAGGATTGGCCGGATCCAGGCCCGTCACACGCGCCAGAGTCGCCCCTTCCGACAGCTGTTTGTAGTTCCGGCCTGCCGATCCGGCAATCTGAGCCACATGCACTTTATCGATCACATATGTCCTGTTCAGCTTCAGCAAGGCCTGGGCCACATACTTCCCGATGGCCTCCGTGTTCAGCGCCGACCACGAGTACAGGGTGTCTATGAAGTCGGCTGCATCCAGCAACTGTTGAAGAAGTAAATAGTCGAATGGAGAATAATTATTAGGAATTAAAGTTAGATAAACTTTCTTACCACATAATTGGTATCGTTGCGACAACTGTAAGCCTTGGCCACTGGCCCACTGTTCGAATTTTGAATGTTTGACAGCCAGCCCGTAATGAAGATGACCGTGGGCCGATCCTGATCGAAGCCCGGCGTCTCCCAGAGCTTCTCAGCCTTAGTAAGCGGAATGCTGACATTCTGACACTCGTCAGTGCGCAGCAGGAAACTCATGCGCGACATGTCCGGTGTGATCTTGGGCTGGACAAGGCCCAGGTCAACGATTGTGCTGCATAGTTGATTGAGCGCGGAGAAGGTGAGGTCCAGCGGTAGACCAATGACCACTTCGTTCAGCTTTTCTTGCAGCTGTTCCAGGGCTCCCAAGTCCAGTCTTTTCTGAATCTCATTTTCCCTAGAATCAGCTCTATTGTCACCGCTTGACGGAGCCACGGCCATGCCAAGAGCCAGAAGAAGCAGCACCGTAATGAAAGGTGTCATGGCTGTGTGAGGAGACCACAGCCCATAGCCACCCTTTTATACATATGTGGGCCAAAATGCAAATAGTTTTGCAATTATACATATACAATCATTATGGCCCCAAAGATATCCACTTTCTAAAATCTTATTCAGCGATTCTTGTCAGCGATACTGAGAGGGTGAGAGGTAGATACGTACACGTGCCAAAGCTGCCATGTGCGAGCTCCGAATGGCTTGGAGCTTTCCCCCCGGCGGTGGATGGATGGGAAGAGGAAGGGGGCAAGGCAATACCAAATTTTGGAAAAAAACAATCTACTTTGTCAACCATTGTGGGTGTAGTACTACCAACATCTGTGGCGCACAGTGGCCGATAAGCAAGCCGTTCAATGGTTCTGCTGTTGTCTCAATATCGGGTAGTTGTTCTTCTATAGATGAAAACATAGACATTCTGTGTCCAATCACCAATCAGCACTTTTGGATGAGCGGAATATTCAAAATCCAGCTCGTACTGGAATGCGAGACGATCTGTGTGCGATCTCATCCATTTTCCCTATGTGTATCATTCACGTACCGGTGTGCTTGTCTCCGTTCCAGTGCAAACAGCCGATAGTTTAGCAAATGGACCAATGTGCGAGAGTCATTGTTGATTTCGCTCATCTCGTGCCACTTGTGATTGATATTCACGAAATTTGGACGTGCTCACACGCACATTATCGTTATGTTATTGGATTTGTCGGCTTTACGGCTTTGCATAGCTTGATAAATTCCTAGTTAAAGTGTAACACAAGATTTGCCAAATTCAACAACTCGAAAGTTCATTTTTGCACCAAGTTTTCGGGAAACGAACCACTGGTTCACCCAGTCTTCGTTGTCACCTGAAACCATAACACGATTGATTCTAGTTAAAAATATCGCAACTACAACGAGAAAAATTGCATTAAATATTCTCTGTGAAATATTTAAAACCAGTATGGAAGTTTGCTTCTATACAGACAAACGAATATAGTGTACCCATTCCTATTCTTTTGAAGAACCGCCCATAATTATTATAATTATAGACTGATTATAATCCGTCTGACTTGCTGCGAAACATGGATCCACTTTAATCGATCCAATTAGTTGGATATTTGCTTTACTGGTAAATAAATCTGCCATTCCTTACGCCACTGGAAGGCCTAACAGGCTCCGCACTGGCTATTGCTTGAGGTGAAAGACTGCAGGTTTGCATTTTTGCCGAATGGCTCAACTGCATTAGCATCCACATAGAAGAACCCCAGATCGCGGGCACTGGCATCGTAGCCCATAACTGTTCTGGTATCATTACATTTGCGTCCATTCCAGAGATCCTCATACCGATTGCATCGCTTGCCAAGGAAGTTGTTTGTGTTCGTTCGGTACAGCGTCTCTGTAAAGTATTCGACCGCACGACCGTGCGAGCAGCTGATAACATCCAACCCAGCACAGCCGCTCTTGAACGGAAACAGTCCCTGGACAAAGAAATCAGCGTCGCCCACGATCTTCGGGGTGCCCAGGATTCCGGGATTCGTGTGTATGATGTCGACGAACCTGGCATCGCCGCTCCGTACGCCCGGCAGATCGTTGCCGTCGTAGAAACAAGGATTGGCCGGATCCAGGCCCGTCACACGCGCCAGAGTCGCCCCTTCCGACAGCTGTTTGTAGTTCCGGCCTGCCGATCCGGCAATCTGAGCCCCCAGGCTGTGTCCAACCACATGCACTTTATCGATCACATATGTCCTGTTCAGCTTCAGCAAGGCCTGGGCCACATACTTCCCGATGGCCTCCGTGTTCAGCGCCGACCACGAGTACAGGGTGTCTATGAAGTCGGCTGCATCCAGCAACTGTTAAAGAAATAAATAGCCCAATGGGGAATTATTAGGAATTAAAGTTACAATCATCTAAGATAAATTTGACTTACCACAAAATTTGTGTCGTTGCGACAATTGTAGGCCTTGGCCACTGGCCCACTGTTCGAATTTTGAATGTTTGTTCTCCAGCCCGTAATGAAGATGACCGTGGGACGATCCTGATAGAAGCCCGGTGCCTCCCAGAGCTTATCGGCTTCAGTAAGCGGAATGCTGATATTCTTGCACTCGTCAGTGCGCAGCAGGAAACTCATGCCCGACATGTCCGGTGTGACCTTGGGCTGCACAAGGCCGAGGTCAACGATTGTGCTGCATAGTTTATTGAGCGCGGAGAAGGTGAAGCCAAGTGGAAGCCCAATGACCACTTCGTTCAGCTTTTCCTGCAGGTCTTTCAGGGTTCCCAAGTCCAGTCTTTTCTGAATCTCGATTTCACTAGAATCAGCTCCATTGTCACCGCTTGACGGGGCCACGGCCATGCCAAGAGCCAGAAGAAGCAGCACCGGAATGAAAGGTGTCATGGCTGTGTGAGGAGACCACAGCCCATAGCCACCCTTTTATACATATGTGGGCCAACAAAGCAAATATTTTTTTGCAATTTTAAATAATCATTATGGCCCTAAAGATATCCATATCTTTGTGGCTTTGTAGCTTTCCCACTCGACGGTGGCTGGATGGGAGGATGATTACTATGCGGAAAGGGGCAAAGTAATCGTAAAATTTTCAAACAATTTTTTGCATTAGGAACCAACTGTTTTGTCACCCCACGGCCAACAATTGTGGGTGTAGTACAACCACCAACTGCGGCGCACAATGACTGGATTTCTCAAACGATTGGGAACCGTACCGATGAGCAAGCCTAAATGGTTCCTGGTGGTGTCTCAATTTTGGGTAGTTGCACATCATCCGCTAAATACGTGGTCATTCTTTGTCCAATCAACAAGCATCACTTTCGGATGAGCTCGTACTGGAATGCGAGACGAAGAAACGAAGCGGATGTAAATGCCAAATTCAACATCTCGCAATTGGATTTTTGTCCCAAGTTTTCGGAAAACGGACCACTGTGCATTGCTTTCAACCTTTCTGCGCTGTCAACTGACAATAAAACGATTGACGCTCGTTAAAAATATTGCAACTACAATAAGAAAAACTTCCATCGAATTGCATTGCATTGAGAAATATTCGAAGCCATTGGGGAAGTTATCTTCCAAGTGTTCTGTTTTCTTCAGTCTGTCTATCGGAGCTCTACAATCTGATATGCATGGTCATGCTCTCTAATTATTTTGTAGAGGTTCCGTCCAGATATCAGAAGAGTCTGTGTGTGCACAAAATTCTGATGGTCTGTGAGATATGGGTTCTCATCGAGACGGATGGGCGGAACTACGGAAACGGCTATGTGGAATATACTTTAAGGATTTCGAAACACTTCCTTTTGTTCCATATACATAGATGTATGTACATAGAAACGAATCTCATGTATCGCCTATTATTTTTAAGTGCCGTCTTTAATCAGTTTAACTTGATGCAAAACATTGATCCACTTTAATCGATGCAATTTGTTGGAGATTTGCTTTAACGGTAAATAAATCTGCCATTCCTTACGCCACTGGAAGGCCTAACAGGCTCCGCACTGGCTATTGCTTGAGGTGAAAGACTGCAGGTTTGCATTTTTGCCGAATGGCTCATCAGCTTTAACTTCCACATAGAAGAACCCCAGATCGCGGGCACTGGCATCGCAGCCCATAACTGTTCTGCTATCATGACATTTGCGTCCATTCCCGAGATCCTTATACCGATTGCATCGCTTGCCAAGGAAGTTGTTTGTGTTCGTTCGGTACACCGTCTCTGCCCAGTATTCGACGGCTCGGTTGTGCGAGCAAACAAAATCGCAATGACAATTCTCGACAAAGAAATCAGCGTCGCCCACGACTTTCGATGTGCCCAGGACTCCAGGATCCGTGTGTATGATGTCGACGAACCTGGCATCGCCGCTCCGTACCCCCTTAGGACCCTTGCCATCGTAGAAACAAGGATTGGCCGGATCCAGGCCCGTCACACGCGCCAGAGTCGCCCCTTCCGACAGCTGTTTGTAGTTCCGGCCTGCCGATCCGGCAATCTGAGCCCCAAGGCTGTGTCCAACCACATGCACTTTATCGATCACATATGTCCTGTTCAGCTTCAGCAAGGCCTGGGCCACATACTTCCCGATGGCCTCCGTGTTCAGCGCCGACCACGAGTACAGGGTGTCTAATGAAGTCGGCTGCATCCAGCAACTGTTGAAGAAATAAATAGCCCAATTAGGGAATTATTAGGAATTAAAGTTACAATCATCTAAGATAAATTTGACTTACCACAAAATTTGTGTCGTTGCGACAATTGTAAGCCTTGGCCACTGGCCCACTGTTCGAATTTTGAATGTTTGTTTTCCAGCCCGTAATGAAGATGACCGTGGGACGATCCTGATAGAAGCCCGGTGCCTCCCAGAGCTTATCGGCTTCAGTAAGCGGAATGCTTGATATTCTTGCACTCGTCAGTGCGCAGCAGGAAACTCATGCCCGACATGTCCGGTGTGACCTTGGGCTGCAAAAGGCCCAGGTCAACGATTGTGCTGCATAGTTTATTGAGCGCGGAGAAGGTGAAGCCAAGTGGAAGCCCAATGACCACTTCTTGTTCAGCTTTTACTGCAGGATCCTTTTAGGGTTCCCTTAAGTCCAGTATTTTCTGAAACCCAATTTCACTAGAATCAGCTCCATTGTCACCGCTTGACGGGGCCACGGCCATGCCAAGAGCCAGAAGAAGCAGCACCGGAAATGGAAGGTGTCATGGCTGTGTGAGGAGACCACAGCCCATAGCCACCCTTTTATACATATGTGGGCCAAAGAAGCAAATAGTTTTGCAATTAAATCTAGTATTTATGGACCGTTAAGACATTCAGGTTGTGGATTCTAATGGTGATGGATGATTGTATGATATCAGCAGCCGCTCCAGCTGGAAGCGATTCTGAGCGGTGCACGTGCCAAAGCTGCCGCATGCGAGTTGCTCCAAGTGCTTGCCCAACAAGGTAGAGCATTCCGTCTCGACGGTGGATGGACGGGAAGAGGATCAGAAGAGCAGGGAGGGGGCAAGGCATTGGCAATCGCATAATTATCACAAACATATTTTGCGTTAGGAAATGCTGCCTACTGCTGCCAAAATGCGAGCTAACTAATAACTACTTTGCTTCGTTCCCAATTGCCGACTACGACTACCACTCCCCCACGGCCCACCATTGTGGGTGTAGGGTGTATGTACAGCCACAATCTGGGGGGGCGGCTATTACATTTGTAATTTTTGTGGCCCACTGCCCCATGGCTGGAATTGCTGGTGCTGTTGCTGCTCCCAACGATGCCGCTCTGGATGTTAATGTTGATGTTGCCGCCATGTGCCGTCACGCGAGCCAAACAGTAAAGGAGTAAAATGTGAGTGTGAGTGTGAGTGAGAGTGCTGGGGGGCTGGGGGCTGAGCATTTGCTTGGCCGATTCACGGCTTAATCTTTCCTAAATGATTGTTCATGTATGCGCTGCTGCCTTGGTAAGTTATCGATAATTTATCGCAGCTAAAAAGTTTTTCAAAATTTATTCCAAGCTGAAGTTATATCACATACAGATGGATCATTGTACTGGCTTTTCACACACACTTAATGGCTCCAAAATGTGTGTGATTTATGCATCGATATTTAGCGAAATTATTTTAAATGATTTCCGAATGTCTTATCCGTAAAATCAATGCAAATAATTTAGGCAAATATTCATGCAACGTATTCTTGATTTTTATTTCGAGTTCATAATTTTGTAAGTCTTTCTTACATATACATAAATACACGCATACTCGCATACATTTTGACAGAGCACCCAAACTTCGTGTCGGATATTTGTTGCGTTCATTTTGGCAAATTATTCGCACATTTCACGTTGTATTGACGGCAGCGCTACAATCAGCCAGATGTTATACATTAAACAAACTCGTGTGTACATATGTATGTCCATACATGTAACTTTAGCTATTTTGTTTCGCTTTTTACCTATTGCAAATATCTTCCAGTTGGAGATATTCGTGCCCGTGAGTTATTGTTTGGGTTAGTAGCTTGGGGGATTGGGTGAGTGTGTCAGCTCTTTTGGGGCTGACTGGCGATCAAGCGAGGAGTATTCGTTCGCTCTGTTGGCTTGTGGCTGTTGCTTTTAATTGCAGTCAATGTACTCGTGAAATCGAAATCAACTCCGACTGCTACACATCTTTCTAGGGGGACTATCAGTAATTGTACAAAGACACAGATTTAATGCGGAAAAATGCACAAAGACTTGTAAAATAAGATAAGATAAGTATAAAAATGAATTAAAAAATGCTAATTAAATGATGCTAAAAAACAAACAAAAACAGAAAAATAAAGAATTTAGGTGCAACAATTTTTTTTGGCGGTCGGATATGGTTCGTTTGTAGGAGAATTCCCAAGTTTCACATTTTGGATGGGCAAAACCTTTCAACATTTGATATACAAAAAATACGAAACTTTGAAATTTTCCTAAAAAAACCATATTTGACACGCAGTTAGTTTTCTTTATAATTCTAAATTCTTTATAATTTACGGTCTATCAACGGATCAACGAAGTACAGACTCCGGAATTAAACATAACCCAAATTTTGCCTAACTTGGCCAAAAGTAAAAATATTGTTACCTTGATGCGCGAGGGTCTAACATTAACCGATTTCAGCGATTTTCCCTCGCTGTAAAATCCGTTAACATATCTTTCGATCACCTTAAGAGTCCCCCCCCTCAGTGTGCCCTTAGAAAAAAAAAGGGAAATCTACATAGATTTCCTTTGACTAAAACTCCACTACAACTTCTTTTATCGCATAATTCCATGGTGAAAATACTTATTCTGCTGCGAAAGTACAGGGCCAAGTATCGAAAGTTGGTAATACGTTTCTGCCCCCATAGATGGTGTCTCCACACAACATGCCATGTTTGCTGTTATCGCTATTCCAACTACATATGTGCATGTGTACCTAGTCCCCCAATTTTATTTGAACTTCATTTGTTTGGTCATTTGTGCGCACACAGCAACTGACAGCTGCAATTTTGGGATGGTTTTGCACAATGAAGATCTCTGACTGCATTGTTTGGGCCCAGACCCCAAGAGCCCAAGTGTGTGTGTGTGCGGTGGCCAGTGGCTCTGACATTCTATTGTTGATAAACTCAATTAGTTGGCCAATTGACGGACTTGTGCCAAAACTTGGTAGCTTCCGCATCGGCGCCTGAGATCCGCAACCGTTCAAGGGAGAGGCATAGAAGGCATAGCAGGCATAAAAATCATAGAAGGGGGTGGTCTTGGTCTTGGATTGCGCAATGAGTTCACACCGAGAACGGCCACAGAGACTAATGGCCGAAAAAAGCAATGCGAAAATATTACGTATACGCACCATTGCAACAGGCTACCCAATGGCCCGGCCTGGCTACGTCGTCCACGTACACGTACACGTAATGCGGAGTAAGTGCAGCAAATTATCAGCTCCAGCCGAACGGGCCGAGCGTCAGGGGGCAGGCAGATGTCCGTTGCAACATTGTGGATGGCGATGGCGATGGCATGGCATGGCATGGCCCAAACGGAGCAAGCCAAGCCAAGCCAAGCCAAACAAAAGCAAAGCAATGCGAAGCTGATGATGTTGCAGTTGTTTTGCAGTTGTGGTTGGAAAATTCAGGAAAATGCAGCACGTACACATGTGTGTGTGTGTGTGTGTGTGTGGCAAGGCAAAGCCCCAAGCATATAAAATGAAACAGAGTTTGCCAAAAGAAATTAGTTGATTCGAAACATTTCGCCGCGTCGGTTAAGCCTCAGATTCAGATTCAGATTCCTGGAAACACATTCCGACCTCCCAACCAAAATCAATATGTTCACGTATCGCCTGAAGCTGATGCTTGTGCTGGGCCATCTACTGGCCGGCGCACTGTGCTCCCCCATTGGCGAGGACTACGCCTCGGGCATACCTTCGGCTGGCCTGCTGGGCAGCTACGCCGGCGGCCTCACCGGCGGCGAGGCTCTGTCCAAGCTGGACTTCTCGCACGAGTTCGCCTCGTCGGAGCACGATCAGCTCGGTGCCCTGGGCGATCATCTGAGCGAGGACAGCTTCCCGGCAGACTACGGCAGCAGCGATGGTGGGGAGGAGTATGCGGAGGCCAGTGAGCTGCACTCCCACTACGAGGAGGACCACAAGCCGGTGCCTGGCATCGATCACGGCAAGGGCGCCTTCAGCTACAGCAGCCTGTACGAGTTCAAGGATCGCGACGAGCACGAGCTGCAGCAGCTCCAGCACCAGGCCCTCGAACAGCAAGTGGAGCACGAACAGGAGCACGAGCACGAGCACCAGCTGGAGCATCTGGAGCACCAACTGAGTCTGGATCATCATCTGGATCATCACTACTAAATGCTGTGATAGTCAACCCAAATTTAGCAAAAGGCTCAATGATTATTTCGTTGGCAAAATCCCAACCCAATTCCTTTTTTTTTGTTGTTGTTATTTTTGAAGCGATATTTGCAATAAAACTAAGTTAAAAGAATATACATATATTGTTCTTGTTTTTGGGGATATCCATCAATATCCATCATATCCAGCCGTTAAAGTGAACCGCAGTAAAAAAAAAAATCAAAATATTTTAGTGGAAAATATTTTCCTAGCCATGGGCGCGTTTCTAGCGTCCATGGGACTTCACTGATGGATGGTGGCTAAAGTCCAAATTATCGCTGATTACAATGCGTGGCTCGTGAACAGTGGGCTGGGGCAGCGTGGCAACGTGTGGCAGGTGTGAGGTCAAACCCTCCACATAGAAGTGCGGCCACGGCTGGGCTAGGGGCGAGGAGTGCACGCTGGGCACAAGCAGCAGCTGCGTCTCAGTATCGTCGGCCAGCTGCAGGACTCCAGAGCTGATGTGTACAGCCGGACCATAGCCTGAGAAAATACTTCAATACTTCGAGTCAAAAGGTTGATTACGCATACGCACCGTGGACCGCACCAAGTGCCGATGGCTGCTCGCGCTCCACCGCATGGCCAGCTGTCAGAGTGGCGATGACTGCCACCAGCAGAATGGACAGGTAGAATATATTCACTGGCATTTTGTTGTGTGGATTATTCTTTGGGCTTCTTTGGTCACTGCTCATTTTATAGACACCTCCGGACGGAAGTTCTTGGTCTTGGCTGAAAGCCCATCGGGGTTCGATCTTTGACAAGCTTTGCTGCTGAACTTGGCACACAAACTGCACGAAAACATTGCGATTAAGATCAGTTGAAAGACATTAAATGTTTGGCTACAGAAATAAGTTATCAAATGAATTGATTCTGCCTCATTTTTGCTTTTAAAAATGTCTTTAAAGAGATCATTGGCAATCATTGGCAATGTGCATAGAATTCCTTCGTTTGACTTCATCTAAGTCCCAGTTGCATTTCTGCCCATCCACTAGAACAGCAGAAAACCCAGTAAATTTTATGCAATTCAACGATCTCTGCCGATGATCAACTGTTGTCGCTGATCTGAATAGAAATTGGTCTTAAGCGCCAGAATGCACGGATTGCAGGGAAGAATTTTATTAAAATTGTCACGAACACTTGTCAAAAATGACATAATCGAAACGTATCCAGAAAAAAACCCAGTTCTCATACTGAGTTAATTGCGTGGATATTCCAGTGATTCAACAAATTATTTGCTGACAATTGTTAATCAACAGAAAGAAAAACGAAGATCTAGCATTAAATTTAATGGAATGTTATGCTTATTGTTAAGAAAAAATATTTTTGTTTCGAATCTTCTTAGGGGAAAACCCAAAAAAAAAAAAACAGCCAGAGAAAATACCAATCGATCTTGGAGTGGCTTCCGCCATCCGCTGGAGCCCGTCCCTTCGCTCGCAGCTTCGCTTTCATTGCCAGCCTCTGCTGAGCCGGAATCGAATCGAATCGTTCGGTGTGAGTTAGCAACCGTGTGCTAATTTCGGTTAGAATATCAATAACACAATGAACTCTGGAAAAAACGAAGATGCCAAAAACCATGAACAACAACAAAAAAAAACCCCAAATAAAATTAGAAGACAAACGAAGGCGATTGATACGAGTATTCTGACGATTACATAAGCCCCAGTCCAGTTCAGCCGCATAAGGTCGAAGCAATTTGAAAGTGTTATGAGACCCCCATATAGATATAATGACTGGGAATTATAAAGTTCAGATTTCGGGTGGGTGGGAAAACACACACATTTTTATATGTTGATTTATTTTATGTACACAGCGATCGATTCGAAATTATACATACAACAACAAGTTAAATACTCGTAAGTAATTATTCGATTTAGAACTAGAAAAAAAAAATACACAGTTGAGTAAGGTTAGGTTAGGTTGAGCACTGTTTGTGGGGAATGGGGTATCCCTGGGCTTAGCAGCCGACAAGCTTCTCAAAGATGCCACCCCGCTTCCAGCCACCGTTGAAGCCACCACCAGTGGAGCCAGCGTTGTAGCCACCGTTGTAGCCACCGTTGTAGCCACCGTTGTATCCTCCATTGTAGCCTCCATCGTTGTAGTCACCGTTCCAGCCGCCGCTGGAGCTTGCCGCGGAAGAGGATGCGCTCGAGTAGCTGGTGGCCACGGGTGCAGGGGCTCCGTAGACTGGGGCTGGCACACGTCCTCCAGACTGATCCTCATCGACAATCAGCTTAATGGTCTTCACAATCTGCTGGGGCCTGGCGGGGGCATAGCTGATGGGCGCCGGAGCTGGGGCATAGCTGATGGGAGCTGGCGCTGGGGCGTAGCTGATGGGGCGGGAGATGGCAACGGGTGCGGGTGCCGGGGCGGAGTAGCTGACTTGAACTGGAGCAGGAGCAGGCTGATAGCGGACCACGGGCTGAGGAGCGGGCACCGAGTAGGTGACTGGAGCGGGCGCAGGAGCGGAGTAGGTGACAGCAGGAGCCCGAGGAGCCGAATAGGTCACAGCGGGAGCTGGAGCGGAGTAGGTCACAGCGGGAGCTGGAGCAGAGTAGGTCACAGCGGGAGCTGGAGCGGAATAGGTCACCGAGGGAGCTGGAGCCGAATAAGTAACCGAAGGAGCTGGGGCGGAGTAGGTCACAGCTGGCGCAGGAGCCGAGTAGGTCACAGCGGGAGCTGGAGCGGAGTAGCTGACAGCAGGCAGAGCCTGGGCCGAGCTGGAGGCGCTGGCACTTGAGCTGGCGCTGGAGTAGCCCTGGTTGTAGCCGCCTCCGTAGTTGCTATAGCCCGAGGGAGCTCCGTAGGAGTACGAGGGCTGCTGCTGCTGCTCCACCACCTTGATGACCTTTATCAACTGCTCGCCGCCTCCATAGCCACCACCATAGCCGCCTCCATAGCCGCCGCCATAGCCGTAGCTGCTGGATGAAGCGCTGTTGGAGGATGCGCTCGAGCCTCCGCTGCCGTATCCAGAGTTGTACACGGGACGGCTGGGCTGGCTGTAGTATCCCTGGTTATATCCGCCGGAATATCCGCCGCTGCCGTAGCTTCCACCGCCGTAGCCTCCGCCGCCGCCGCCAGAGCTGCCGCCACCGAGGCCGCCGCCACCGAGGGCCTTGAGAAGAGCCAGCTTGGCACCCAGCAGTGCCTGGGCGGGAGCGGCAATGGCCAGCAAGGCAAGTGCTATGCAAACGAACAGCTTCATGGTGTGGATTGGGATTGGGTTGTGGGTTGGGTTGGGTGCGGTGCGGTGCGGTGCGGTGCGCTGCTACTGGCTCCTTAAGCAAAACTCAACTGATGTCCCAAATCGTGGAGACCCACTCATTTATAGGCAGCGCCAGCGCCAGCGCTCCGATCTTTCATCTCGTTCCCTAACACTTACCCCTCGGCTATCAATGGGTACCTGTAGCTGTATCTGTATATCTGTAGCTGTATCTGTGCGAGTGTTTGTATAGTTCTAATCTATGCCACAAGCAGGGCTGAGCTGAGCTGAGCTGAGCAGAGCAGAGCTCCGCTGAACTGAGCTTGATCCAACGAGCGACAGTTTGGAGCTCCCCACCACCCCTCAAGCTGTTTGCTTAATTCATAAATAGTTACTTATAAGCCCAGCCAAGCAGAGACCAAAAAAAAACATGGGCGGGGCCAGCACATCTCATCTTAGCGCACATATCCGCCACAGCCATAGCCACAGCCATAGCCACCGGTATTGCCAGCAGCAGCAGCACCATAGCCATCCCATCCCATCCCAACCATCCATCCCATCCCATCCATCGGAGCAACTGTCTGGCTGTACTACCTGTCCCACGGCTCATCTGTCTGCCTGTCTGTCACCTCAACTACTTAACCATCAAGTGAGATATTTTCTCGCATCTCTGGGCAAACAATCTCGGCGTAGACAACAACAAAAAACAAAACAAAATAGCAGCTAACTTTTGGTTGCCGGTACGGACGGATTCGCAAGAAGCGCAGGTAATTCCCCAAACAAAAAAATACACTGAGCGGTTTTTATTTCACAAGAATGGATTGCAGGACAAAGCAGAATATAATGAAAAATGGGGTCGAGTGTGCAAGCATTTTGTTATTAATACATACATTAATAAATTAATAGATCCAATAAGTAATGAAATGTTTTTTATATTTTTGATTGAAAAGAATTTGTTAGTATGGTGTTTACTGCTCCTTATTCTGATGCGACTTTTCTGTATTATTTATATTGGAAATTATAATTAAAATTTAATAATAATAATAATAATATTTGTATTCATATAAATAATAATATCTTTTATTCTATCCCTTTGCAAACATTTTGATAGCTCTCTCCCCGTTGCCTGCTGCTCAGTTTCTCCCAGTGCAGGCTAGGCCATGTGCGTGGCCATTGTATTGTCTTTGTCACTCATTCGGTCACTGAAATCTTGTGCATGGCTACACGTAGTCAAAGAGGATGGAGGACGGGGGGGACAGCGACAAGCTAGCCAACGCTTCGCCAATAGCCAAAGCACGCCCAATCCCGAACCCCACACCGAACCGAGCTTAGCTTCATCTGCCCATTCCCATCCCATCCCATCCCATGCCAGAGTGCCGGCTGCTTGTCCAAAACTTGTCCACGCTGGCCACGTCTCAAGTATGTGTACGAGCATTTCTATTTAAGATCAAATATTACAAAACATCTATGTAAATGTAAATCGTGATGTTTCTGTTTCTGTTTCTGTTTATTCTTTTCTTGCTTTTCTATTGATCTAGACTGCTATGCTAATTAGGTCAACAAAAGAACACAAAAGCTTTTCCTGAATTTCGGCAAAATGTTATGCCATGTCCATAATTTAGCAACAGGTTATATGGGGGGGTGTGGAGGCCTAATAAAATCCCCTTTAAGGTGCTCATACGTGGCTTTTGGAATACACATTTTGTGGAACATAAAATTTGTGTGTGTGCTGATATTTGAGATGTTTCTCTAGTGGTTGAGGGCAGTTTAAACACATCTCTGAGTGAAGTTGGGACTCCCTTTAGCATGGGTATCAGATCTTTAGACGATCATTGAAATGGCACAATAGTTCTGAGCTGTACTGTACCCCGTAGCTAAAATCTCTTTCTTCTTTTCAAGCACGTTCTCTACCTCTGCCTCTGTCTCTGCCTCTCTTCTTCACCTCTTATCGGCTAAACATGGCAAATATTAAATCATAGCCAATTTACACATTCCCATTTACAGATTTTGTGGGGTTTTCTCCATACTCGCAGGCTACTAATACCCTTGCAGAGGGTAGTCTGATTAGGGGCAGTTGTGGGTAACACAATTAAATTATATAAAGAGTATCAATAAATACATATGTACATATATACATTCATCGAACATAAAAAGTAGAAAAATAATATTAAACATTTTGAAATATTTTAGATCATAGTTAAGCTTAAACGGAATAATAATAAAATAATTAATTGAATTGTTAATTATATTCATAATCAGCATTAACAACAGATTGTCATGTCTTTCCATATCTTTTTATACAAACCAAGCCCTCAGATGGGATCACTAGTTTATACTTATTAAAAAAGCCTCCTACAGATCTGTAAGTGTATTAAAAGCTTCGACCAAACGTTAAAATTTTCCTTCCTTGTTTTTGTTGTACGTATTTTTGGGTTTCGCATTTCAGGCTGCGTCTGTGGCTGTGTCTGTGCCTGTGCCTCTGCCTTTGGTGGCATTGATTGGGAGCTGAGGCTGAAGCTGGAGCTGGTCCAGCAAAATCAATTTACACCCAACGCGCGTACAGCATTCTCGGCCAAACGTTTTGGGCTTGGCCTTTTTGTGACTTTGACTTTGGCTTTGCTTTTGGTTTTTGGCACTTGATTACCATTAACTGTATTGTTCGGCTTAGTGCTGCCTTGCCACACAAGAGAGAGACAGAGAGAGAGAGAGAGAGAGAGAGCAGAGAGGAGCAGTGAGAGAGATATAGGGAGTCGCAGCTAACTGAATGCGTAAACAGTTGCCGTGCCGTGCCGGGCCCAAGCACTCAACTCAACTCTCGGTTTCATTCAGAAGCCCCCACGAAGGTCACCCATTCTTATGGGCCGACGACGGGTCTTCAATTAGGTGCGAAATTTAATTTTGTAATTGTGAAGCGATGAATTGCGTTGAGCATTCAAACATTACACACATTCCCAACGACTATGAGCCACGGGTTTGGATCGAACTTGCCCATCGAATTTGAAACTCCTGCAGGTGTAGCACGCTTTTGGGCGTCGGAATTGATTCTGTGCAAAGTAAGTTCCCAAGAATTATATAGTCAGACTCAGTAACAAATAAAAAATATATAGCCAAAAATAATCTCCATATATTTTAACATTTTATTTATTAAATTTTAATTAAACGTTTTTTATTAGAAATATCGACACAAAAAAAAAAAGGAAGAAGAGAAGTAAACTGTAATTCGTTCGTTAAGCGTCTAGCACAGGCCCGATGCCAGGCCGAGGGGTGGAGGTGGTGCTCCAAAGCCCAGTCCAAAGCCACCGCCAGCCCCATAGCCGCCGCCAAAGCCATACGAGGCAGGCAAGGCACTGCCACCAAGACCACCTCCCAGACCACCGCCCAGACCAGCTCCCAGACCACCGCCAAAGCCACCCAGTCCCCCTCCGTAGCCGCCCAGTCCACCGCCATAGCTGCCCAGTCCAGCTCCACCGAAGCCGCTCACATAGCCAGCTCCGCCAGTTAGGATGGGGCTAGCCACGGGCGTGGACACTGCCGTGACCACTGGGGTAACCACGGCCGATGTGGAGATGGCCGGAGCGGCGCCAACAAAGCCGCTGCTGTAGCCGCCACCATAGCCGCCTCCGCCGTAGCCAGATCCGTAGCCGCCGCCGTAGCCAGATCCATAGCCTCCTGAATAGCCTCCGCCGCCCGGCACTACAGACACCTTGATCACCTTGACCACGTTCTCGCCGCCATAGCCATAGCCCGAGCCATATCCAGAGCCATAGCCAGATCCGTATCCATAGCCGGAGCCGTAACCAGAGCCATAACCAGAGCCGTAGCCGGAGCCGTAACCCGAGCCATAACCATAGCCAGAGCCGACACCAGCACTGGCGCCGCCCAGCAACAGATTCAGCTTGCCAAAGGTTGCCTCTCCGGGTGCCAGGAGTGTGCCCACCAAGACCAAGATGAGCACAATGCTGCTGCTGCTGCTGCTGTAGAACTTCATGCTGACGATGCTGATGCTGATTTCTGAGCTTATCCACAAATTGCTATGATATGAGCACGACACCTCCAACTCGCTGACTGTTGAACTCTGATGACCGGCAGTGGGCATTTATAGTCCGGTGTTCCAGGGCCCTGCACAATGGTCAGCGATTGTTCTGTTGGAACGGACTTGGGCACCAAACTAACGTGTGAAATTACTCAATGGGCCAAGTTGGGCCCAGGCAGGCAGGCAGGCAGGCAGGCCGAACATGTCACAAATATTTGTGTCAAAGTCAATTTTTCCCATTTGCGGTTGTTCGCTGGAGGTTTAGTTGGGTCTATCTACATAGAACCCCACCAAAGAAACCCCGAAATGCGATCATCCACAGAATGAGACTGCCTATTGTGTGTGTAAACATTGCAATCTTCAAGGGAATTAACACTTTCGGTTTCACATGGCTTGGCCCCGACCAAGGAAGCCAACAAGTTCGCCGATCAACGATTGTGCAATAGCCAAAGGGATCCAATCAATCCAGGTACTCAGCACCTGTCTCATTGAACCAATAGAGGGGAGACGATCGTTTCTAAAGGGCAGAAAGACATTTGATTGTCCACGATCCACAGCATGCAAATGCGGATCTCAACTGTCTCATAATTGGAAATGGCCTGGAAATGTTTTACACCCCTAGTAGGAATGTGTCATGGGTTCTCCTCAAATGCAGGGGCATGTAGTGCATTTCTATCTCTAGTTCTAATTCTAATTCTAATTCAAGTACCAAATAAATAGTAGAAATCATCAGTCAGGCCAGCAGTAAAAACTCACGACAGCAACACAAATCGACACTTAAATTGACTGTTAAAAATTCGTAGTATTTCTAAATTTCCAAAAGGGTCTCTTGCAGTGGAGGAGCCCGACTCCGGTCTGCTGCTATTGCTATGAAGCATCATGGCAGCCCGTCGCAGAGCCTCAAACGACGGTGCAATGATCAGATCGAGGAGCACGGCGTGATCAAGTCTTCGCCGCGTTTCAGTAAGCGCTTGAAGCCGATACCGGAGCCAGCGACAGAGACAGAGCCAGAGCCAGAGAAATGTATGCTCTACAGCACAGATGGTGACAAGTCCGCGTTGATCTGCAACTTTGAGAAGCGTGGCTGGCTGCAGGTGCCGTCGATCAATGGGGAGTGGAACTTCTACTGGGCCTGCACCCAAACCTGTCGCTATATCTTCGGCATCGATCAGCCGTATCGCATGCGATCGGATCAGTAAGTGAAGCAAATAGTTCATAATTTATCTGACTTGAGGGATATTCTCTACGCAGAATCATAAACCACTTTCCCAACTCGATGGAGCTGTCGCGAAAGGATCTGCTCATCAAGAACATCAAGCGCTATCGCAAGGATCTGGAGCGCAAGGGCGATCCATTGGCCCAGACCTATGCGCAGACCATGAAGCTGGGCATTGGGGGTACACGCTACATGCATTTGGATATCGTACCAATGACCTTTGTCCTGCCCACCGATTACAATCTGTTTGTGGAAGAATTCCACAAGAATCCGGCCAGCACGTGGATCGTCAAGCCCTGCAGCAAGTCGCAGGGCAATGGAATATTTCTGATCAACAAACTCTCCAAGCTGAAGAAGTACGCCTACGAGGCGCGCACCTTCTATCCGCTGCTCAGCCGCAATACCAGTGTCATCTCGAGGTACATAGACAAGCCGCTGCTCATCGGTGGCAAGAAGTTCGATCTGCGGCTGTTCGTGCTGGTGACCACGTTCAATCCACTGAAGGCCTACCTCTACAGGGAGGGCTTCTGTCGCTTTTGTACGGAAAAGTACGACCACACAGACATTGACAATGTGTTCATGCATCTGACGAATGTCAGCATCCAGAAGACGAACGTAAGTCACCACACAAACGGCAGTTTGTGGGTCACCAAATCGATTTCTCTCACCCATCAGCTAGTGTACAATTCGACGCATGGCGGCAAGTGGCCTGTCCAGAATCTTTGGCTCTACTTGGACAGCCTGAGGGGCGGTGGCGTTTCGAAAACTCTCTGGCAACGCATCTGCGAGACGATCCGGCACTCCCTGGACGCAGTGGCCCCAGTGATGTCCAACGATCGGCACTGCTTTGAGGTCTATGGCTATGACATCATCATCGACAACAATCTGAAGCCGTGGCTCATTGAGATCAACACCTCGCCATCGATGCACGCGACCACGCCAAACGATCGCATGCTCAAGTCGCGGCTGATAGACAATGTCCTGGATGTGGTAGTGCCACCCAGTGGCATGCCCGAGTGAGTAATGATCGCTCGCCATAGCTCTCTCTCTCTCTCCCCAACTAATCTGTCATTGCCCTGCCGTTAAGCGATCACTGGGACAAGTCGCCCGATCCCAATCTACTCGCCAATTTCACTGTGCTGATGCCCGTCGTAAGGAAGAAGGAGCCGCCAGCACCACTGCCAGTGGCAGCCCCGACCCAAGGTCATGCGAAAAAGAAACGCAAAATAAAGACAGCCAAGAAGAAGCGTGTCCAGCAAGAAACCCGTCCTCCCACAGACGATGAGGAGCAGGAGCAGGAGGAGGAGGGACCAATAAAGAGCAGCAAGTCGCCAGTGCGACGGCACACGACACCACCCTCGTATGCCAAGACGAGGATCATTCAGCGATGAATCCATCCAACATATGTATGTGTGTATATTCGATGTATAACAGTTTGATAATTGTTCATGGAAATTTGTTAACTTTTAATTCGCAATTCGGTGCCGCAATTTACAAATTACTTACAAAGTACACAAAATAAACATCTATGGTATGCAATCAGCTACTCCCCATAATGTATACGCCTAATTGTATATTTTATATATTTTATGCTACAATTATTACGTATAACTAAACGAAGCTGCTTGTCTTGTAGAGACCCCGGTAACCGAAAGTCGGCTGCACAATTTGCCAAAGCTTCGGCTTTCATCTTAATATAGAGGAAAAAAAAATTAGATATATTTATATATATATATACGGTATACAATATAGTAGTTTATGTGTGTGTGTGTGTGTGTGTGTGTGTGTGTGTGTGAGGGTTTCTTTAAGTTTTACTTTTCTTTTTTTTTTTTGTAACTTTTGCAAATTTCTAACTTTTTGCACACAAAATGGCGTCCGCTTTAAAGCTAACAAAACAAACGAAAGTTTCTATGTACAACAAAGACGAAAACGAAAAACAAAAAAAAAATACATTAATGTATAAAGTAATGGAGAAATGGTACTTCGTAGTTGAAATCTAAAGTGTGGGGGTGCTGGGCTGTATGTTCTGTGGTTGGCTTCTTCTGCATAACCTAATTATGTACAAAGGCATTTGACTTAGACAGTAAAAAAAAAAGAGAGATGAAATACAATAGCAAGTTCTCCTTTTTCCTTCGCTAAATCACCAAATTAGCATCGACTTGTCGTCGCTTTAAATGGTAATACTTTTCATTTGATATGTATTTATGTATACATATGCATTGGGAATAAATGAACTTAAATTTAAGTTAATACAAGGTGTATGTATGTAGCATGTATGCATGTTTTGTGTGTGTGTGTATGGGGTGTGTCTTTGTGTACAAAATGTGGAAGTTTTTTCGAAAAATTCCATTCATCCCATCCTCCAATCAATTGCGTAAAAATAAATCTCTAATTTTTGCCGGCTGCCAGCGTCACACACAGCGTCACTTCCATGCGGAAGAGAGGCAGGCAAGGTGCCCAGGAAGGAGCAGCATAACCTCAGCATTCGGTAGCGTAGTAGAAGATCTCTACCTCGCTGACCTCGCTTAGCTCCAGCTGCTGTTGCTCCAGCTGCTGATGCTGCTGCTGATGCTGCTGATGATGATGATCCTCCACGAGCACATCCCGTGTGGCGCGCGCATGCGCCAGCACCTATAGTCACACCTTGGAGGCATGCGGCTGGGAGCCAGCACTGCTGCCGTACTGTGACTGTGCCCCCATCTTCTGCACGGTCTGGTAGGTGGGCTGTTGCTGCTGCTGCTGCTGCTGTAGCTGCTGTTGCAGCTGGGCTGGCATGCCGCTCTGCTCGCGTATGGTCACTTGGGTAACAAAGGGTCCACGGCTGCGAGAGCTGCTGTTTAGGCTGGCCGGGGAGTAGCCATTGAGGGCGGCCGCCTTCCAATGCGGCACATTGATGGGCGACGCCGAAGAGCCACTGGCATTGACGCTGGCACTGCTGGTGCCTCCATTGTGACTGTTGTGGTGGCTGTGCTTGATGCTGCCCACACGCTGCTGCTGCTGCACTGTCTCGTACTCGTAGTAGCTGCTCAAGGGACGAATCACACCGCCATTTGTGTGCGCCTGCGTCTGGCCCTGCGGATGCTGGTGGTGGGATGAGGAGCTGGTCGAGTGCATGCTAATGTCCTGCGACCGAGCGCTGCGCTGCGAATGGTAATGCTGATGGCGGCGACTGTAGCGGCAAGGCAAAGGAAGCAGAAGAAAAAGAAGCATTCAGTATGATCAAATGATAAAAAATACAAAATATACAACGATGCAGCTGCAGCTGCAGATGCAGACAATGAAACAACCAGAAAACCATTCAGTTAGTATTGGGGAGGGGGTTATACAGTGCGTTTCAGTACTATAAAGATAATCTGTTGCTCTTTGATGCCATGCAAAATTCCTTTTCGTTCTGTGAGCTCTTTGCTGGTAAAATTCTACTTGGATTCCCCTTTTCTGTACTGTTCTTATAATAATGATGCTCCACTGGGTGCGTGTGCGTGTGGATGGGGTGTGTTTGTGTGTGTGTGTGTGTGTTACCTTTCCGCCTCCACCTTGATGCGCTGACGTATCACCTGCTGTCGCATGCATTCGAGCGTTGACTCCGATAGCTGCTCGGCTGCTGCTGCTGCTGCTTGTATGGATGTGCTGCAGGCCATAACCAGTGTTGTTAAGTGTTGTTAGATGGTGTTGGTAAGTGTGTGTGTGTGTGTGTGAGTGATACATATACATATAAACATGACCACAGAATAGACAGAGAAGGAGATATAGAGAGAGAAAGAGACAGAGACAAGATACAAATGTTGAGATTTTTGTTAATAAAGTTAGTCATGGCTTAATGGGGATATGTGGGCATGGGGGCGGTATTAACATATATATGTATATATATATATATATATATATATATATATATATAAAACAAGAGCATGTGGCACCCTCTTTGATCTCTCACCTTATTTGATGATGATGCTGCTGCTGCTGCTGCTGCTGCTGCTGTTGATGCTGATGCAGATCCTCATAGTTGGCATAGTGCTGATACCGATGATTGAATATATCGTTCTGGTGTATGCCACCATTCGCTGCCGACCCACCTGCTCCCCCTGCCCCACCACCACCACCTACACCCACACCATTTGGTGCTGGCAATGGCGGGGGTGGCTGGTATGCTGGTGGCTTTCCATTCCTCTCCAATGCAGCCAGAGCAGCGGTGGGTATCTGTTGTTGCTGCTGCTGTTGCTGTAGCTGCTGCTGCTGTAGCTGCTGTTGCTGCTGCTGCTGCTGTGGCGATGATGATACCACCGATGAGGGCGGGGAGATGGCCACAGCACTGTAGGTGTCCACTGGCACCACCCCATCCTTGCGGTTCTTGCCAAAGCGGAACATGTGCCCAATGCCGCGCAGAATGCTCGGCTTCTTGGCCCGCGACGACTTGCTGCCGTGCTTGCCATCGTTCAGGGAGCTCTGGAAGGGTCCGTTCCGCTGCGAGGCGAAGCCACCCTCGTGATCCCCATCCTCCAGCAGCCATGTCTTGCGGGGCTCTGAAATTTGAGATACAAAATTTAGTTTGAGTCGCGCGACCAGCGTCGGGAATCCTCCTCCCGATCGATTCCCACTCACTATTTGCATCTGGTTCGTGGACCACCGCCGCCCGCAGGCTGTCCTCCCTGCCACGACCGCGCGGTGCGCGCAGCGCCTGATGGCCACGCGGCTCATCGGACATCTGCAGCTCCTGGACCATGGTCTGGAGCGACTCCAGCGACGAGGACTTCTTCATGCCCAGCGAGGGGCCCAGATCACCCAGCTGGTCCCGTGCCTCGGCCTCGGCCGCCGCCAGCTGCTGCTGCATCGACTCGCGCTGCTCAATGCTGGAGGCGGTCTTGGCGTGCCTGTAGCCCGCCAGCTGGGCATTGGCGTTGGCGATCCGCGTCGTCAGCGACTCAATGGAGCCCCCAAAGACGGCCGATTTGGTCAGCTGAATGCGACGCTCGCGTTCCCGCTCCTCGCGCAGTTTCTTGTTGCGCTGATAGGTGCCCGTCTCGCGGGCATCCAGCGCCGCATGATGCTTCTCCGAGATGCTGCGCCTGCCCAGAGCATCGCGCGAGAAGTGCTCCACGCCCGAGTTTGTCTCCAAACTGAGCTGAGACGAGTAGGTGGCGTCAAAGGTGCCGCTGCTCGACGGTGTGCCCGGCACGGTGACTGCCACGGCCACTGGCACTGCTGCCTTTGTCTGCGATGCGTTGGCGCTGCTCGGGTTGCAGTGCTGCCCATCGTGAGGACGCGCCGGCAGTGTTCTAGAATGGGGAAAATGGGAATAGAGCAATGGAGCTATGAGCTGAAGGGGCTTCATGGGGGAATTTATCTGTCGTTGGCTTACGGTGACATCGGTTCGGCATCGTCTTCGATGAGCAGCGCCGCATTGCCGCCATGGCCCGTGAGCAGATGGAGCTGTGCCGGCGACCAGTTGTCGTTGGTGGCCATGTAGTAGCTCTCGTTGCGGAGTGCCGCATTGCTGCAGATTGGGGTTGGGGGCAGGCGACGCTGTTGCTGTTGCTGTTGCTGCTGCTGCTGCTGCTGCTGCTGCTGCTGCTGGGGATGTTGCGGCTGCTGTGTGGGCTGCTGCTGTGCTGTGTTTGTGGAGCAAATGCCACCGGTTAGACGATCCAAAACGGGATTGCTCCATCTACAAAAAACCAAAGGAAGAGAGGTGTTTAAGGGGTTTCATTCGCATGCTTTCCCCCTCCATGGCGCTCACCTATTCATCTCGTTGCTGCCTGCGCCTACTCCGTTGCCATTGCAGCGCTGCTCCCTCTTCTCGGGACTCAAATAAATGACTGTGGCACCCGAATTGTCGCTGGCATTGGAGCTGCTGTTGTTGTGGCCGCCGCTGTTGCTGCCGCTGCTGTTGCTATGGCTGTGATTGTGATTGTGACTCTGGCTCTGGCTCTGACCCTGGTCCAGGATGTCGCTGGAGCTGGCCGAGCGCTGGATCTTGCGGCCCACGAGCAGCGTAATGGTGCCCGGATGCTTGCCCGGCGTATTCACCATCGCACGACGCAGCGTCTCCATGGCCTCGGCATTGTTTTGGCCGCGCAGCGACACCCCGTTCACGCTCAGCAGCTGGTCGTTCATCCGCAGTCGGCCGTCGCGTGAGGCAGCACCGCCATGGATCACGCTCTTCACGAATATCCCCAGATCCCCGTCGTGCTTCATCAGGCCGCTGCCGCTGCCGCTGCCACTGCCACTCGAACTGGAGGCATTCAGATTCGAGCACGTCTTCCCCTTCACGCTCACCCCCAGTCCGGCCTTCTCCGTGTCGTGCACGGGGATGTGCAGCGTGAGCTCCTCGCGTGTATTCCAGCTGTTGCTGCTCGGCGGCAGGCTATCCTGTGGGCATCAGAATCACATTCAGAATCAGTATCAGCAGGGGAAAGGATCTACAATTAAAATTCAAACTCACATTTGAGGCTGCCGACTCGCTGCCCGCATCGATGAAATGCTGAGATTCGTTGAGGAGCTGCTGCTGCTGTTGCTGCTGCTGCTGAAAGAGCGAACGGGCACTGCTCGATTTCTGTACCTGGATGGATGCCGCAGCAGCGGGCACAGGAGCTGCAACAGTGACCAAAGCGGACGTCTTTTCTGCCGCCGCTGCTGCTGCTGCTGCCGCCTGATCTGTCTGCTCCGCCAGCTCCTGCTGACGGGAGACGACTATCCGGACAGTGGCGCCCGCCTGCATGCCCCTGAGTATGGCCACCACATCGGTTTGGGTTTTGCCCGTCATCGGAGTGCCATCGACCTCGAGCAGCCGATCGCCGGGCTTCAGGCGTCCATCCTCGATGGCCGCTCCGCGGGGCAGTATATTCTTGATGTAGATGGGGCAGTGGCCACCGGCGGGATTGTCGCGCGTCGTCACCGAGAAGCCCAGACCGTTGGGTCCCTTCTTCAGCAGAATCTCGATCTTGCGGCCGAGCTTTCGGGTGTTGGCCACCTGCAGGGAGGTGCCCACGGGGGCGGCATGCGGCTTGCGTGTGGGCGAGACGGTGGCCACCTCCACCATTTCGGCCACCTTAGAGTCGCGCCGCTGCTGGCGCTGCAGCTGGTCGCCGCGCAGGACGCGCACCCTCAGCTCGGAGCATTCGAGGGCACGTCGGAGGTGCTCCTGCACCTGCGACTCGCTGAGGCCGATCAGCTTGATGCCGTTGATCTCGAGGATGCGATCCTCGCGCCGCAGTCGACCCCGTTCGGCGCGACTGCCGGGCTCCACGTGCTGGACAAGGAGTCCGCCGCCGTGCTCCTTGTCCGGCATGGCCGTGAGGCCCAGCGGACTGCCGTACTCGTTGATGATCAGCAGCATCTCGCCGTCCTTCTCGCGTATCGACTCGTACGCCTGCCCCAGCGGCTCCTTCCGCTTGCTCTCCCTCGGCAGGGACTTGCTCGAGTAGGCGCTGTTCGGCAGCGACGATTGCAGCGACGACTGGCCCGAGTTCAGCTCCCGATGGCCGGAATGGTGATTCAGGTGCTGGTGCTGATTCTGGTTCTGATGCTGCAGCTTCTCGGCCGCCTCCATCCACTTGTAGCCGTTGCCGTCGCCCAGGAACTGCATGGACAGGCGCCCAGAGCGGGCGAATGGCTGGTGAGCGGCAGCTGGGGGCTGCTGCTGCTGTTGCTGTTGGAGCAGCAGCTGCTCCTTGAGCTGCTGCTGGCTGGCGGCATCATCCTCCTCCTCCCATTGGGGCGACAGCTGCCCACCGGCCTTGTCGATCAGCAGACGCTCGGGCGAGTCGCCGCCCGCGTAGTGTGGCGCCGCCGCCGACCAACGCTTGTTGCTGCCCTCCGCCTTGAGCGAGGCCAGCAGATTTGGGTCGCTGCTGCGGCGCACCATCAGGCCAACGCCCAGGCCGGCCATCGGCCCCGAAGTGGTGCTCGTCACCTCAATGTGGGGCGTGGACAGGTCCCGGGTGGGTGCCTCTGTGTTCGTGGGGTCGCGAAAGATGTCCGGCGAGCCGGTGCCCACGGATGAGCTGCCGGAGGCTCCATCCCCACCGCCCTGCGCCACACCCGGATCTGGTCCGGGATCCTCAAAGTGTGCGAGTATCTGTTCCCGATCGTCGGCCACATCCCGCACACAATCATCCGGATCCAGGATGCCCGATTGTGTCTGTAGATGCGTCACCGACACCCATGAGTCTGGCTGCAAACGAAATAAGATTTGCGGAAAATTTCAATTAGTTTTCACGGCACAAGTGGAGCCAAACGATTGGCTGATATGTGGAATGTATCTGTGAAGAGAGTAACGGCAAGAAGAGCAATATTTCCTCCTATTAACAAAAGGCAATTTACCGATGGCCTAGCCATATCCTCAGTCTGCAAATGTGCCCTGAAACCCAAAAGGCCCTGCCATAAACAAGCCAGAGGTGCTGCTTCGGTTCGGTTGGGTTCGGTTCGGTTCAGCTGTTTTAACCCCATCCACCAATTTTCATCAAGATCGGAGACCAAGTTGCAGGTTGCCTAAAGTTGCACAACATGAAGTCAGACAGACAGACAGATAGACACAGAGATGGACCATCCATCCATCCATCCATCCATCCATCCATCCATCTTTCATTCATTCACTCCGTGGAGGCTGATCTGATCTTCTCAGCTACGCTTCCGCATCAACAGAGTGCGGATCCGAATCCGAGCCTCCCCTAGGCCTGGCCCACGTGGTTTCAACTTGAACTCCCTGACTTGACGCCAAATAAAGCGACGCTCGAGACGCGACGACCTCCACGGACCAAATTGCAAGCTGAGGCACAGGTCTGTGTGATCCGTTCCACTGTGTCTGTCTGTCAGTTCGTTCGTGTGCAACTTTGGGCATTCCAATGGATTCCACAACAAATGCCAAATGCCGAATGCCGAAAAACAGAAACAGAAACAAAAACAATTGCATCATGCCATGAAACCAGTCAAAAGCGTTGGTTGGGGAACAGTGAGAGAGAGACTGCGGCTCTGAGGTGGCTCTCTGGCACTCTGGCAGCAGCGCAGAGCAGAGGTAGAAGCGCCTCTTCCCCCTCCCCCTTTGCACTGAACTGAAGAACTGGAACGTCAACTTGGCGCAATCATTTTAAGCTATTTCTGTTTTTCATTGTTTCTCTCTTTTTACTTTTATTTTTTCTTGTTTCTGTTTTTCTGTTGCTGTTTTTTATTTTATTTTTTCTCTTTGGTTTTTTGTGGGTCAAAGAGCGCGCTCAGGCATTCATTCTATCGATTGCATGTTGATTTTCTTTTTAATTTAATTTTTAATTTTTTTTTAAATTCCAAACTGCCTGATTCGTGGGAGTTCAAGATTCAGCGACAGAGACTGGAATGCAGTTTCGAATGCCTGCGGTACAGTGGGTAACAAAAGTGATCAAATGTTGATGGAAGAATCAAAAAATAAACGAGAGGGAACATTGTGATTCGCTGCCGTAGCCGCGACTCTACTTTATATGCAATGGAAAAAGCAATGCGATTTCTTGTTCAAAAAAAATAATTATAAAAATATTCCAAGTAGAGCACATGGAGTGTGCATATCAACTGCAGAGAATATAACACGGGAGAACTCTGTCCTCTAATGAATCGAATGCAAACTCTTGTTAGGCGCTCACTCGCAGCGCGAGAGAAATAGATACATTTATGCAGATCACATCACGAACAGCTTACGGCTCGACTCTAATTATAATTCATTAATTATAATTAAAGATAATTATCTTCGTTAGAGTTCGTTGCATATATTGTAATATTATTCTTTAGATTCTCAGGACTTATTCTAAGTAGCTTCAAGCCTTAATTTGAACTCCTCTCAACTGCACATAATCTTTGTGTCCTTCTTAATCATCGCTTTTTTTATCACTTTTTGTATCACTTTTTCACCCAGTTGGACCCACTGTGGACCCATCCGCGCCGCTGATTATATTTCTTAATGGTCATTTGTCAATGGAAATCACACAGCAAGAGGACAGACGGACAGACAGACAGACAACGGATCACGTTCTCATATATCATACGAAAGATTGAAACAGCATTGTGGGCGTGGCATTGGCTAACAAGTGACGCTGCCGCCGCCGCCCTCCACTCAAGCGTGTGGGACGACGCGACGCGATAGATGGCAGCAGAGAGTTTCTGCATCTGGCCATAAGATGATGACGATCAGAGATGATCATCAGATATTAGATATGGTGCACAGACACATGTTGCGAGTATCTTTACCTTCACACACGAATAGGCCGACGGCGACGGTGGTCGCTTGGGCAGGGTGAGGGAGTAGGACTTGTGGAGGTGGCCGTGCGGTATGCCCTCGTGCTTGGCCGCCACCTTGTAGGTGTGTCGCCAGCCAAAGAGGCCGCCCAATTTGTTGGCCAACGCCGGGCACTTGGGCGGAACGTCGAACATTCTTTTACTCTCGTGCTCTCTCGTTCCTCCAATGTCCACTTCCACTCCGAGTCGACTCAATTCGATTCGATTCGATCTTTGGTTTTTGATTTTCGTTCTAATTTTTGGTTTTAGCACACCTTTAATTGTTTATTTTTTCGTTATTTTCAATTCGCTTTTGGTTCGTTTTTATTTTTATTTTTGTTTTAGTTTCGCTTTCGATTTTCACAATTGTTTCGATTCTATTGATATCATGACGATGAAGGATGATTGGGTTGCGAGGAAGGAGGAACTTTCACCGTTGGGTTTCCCTGGAAATGTTTCGCACCGAACTTTATTATGATTCACTCACTCATTTTTGTTTTTAGTCACTCTTTTGTGTCGTTTATCGCTTGTTGTTGGCTTTTTTCTTATCGATGATGCAATGCCAAAATAGTTGACAAAGCGCCCCGCTTATCAAGTAACGGGTTCTACTCTTCTACTGTTCACACCGCCCTCTCCCCTCTCCCCACTCTCCATGAGAACTGCAGTCGCACACTCTTATCAGCCGCCATGCGGAAATTTCAGACACCAAGAACACGGCATTGGGATGGAAGCAATCCGCATATTTTCTATGTGTCTGTTTCTGTCTGTCTGTTTCTGTCTGTCTGGTTTTGTGTCTATTGCGAACGGAATAAATGTGCATGTGAATTGTTTGAATTCCACTTTCAGCTGATGGGGGATTAAATGTCGAGATCTTTTCTCTCTCTCTCTCTCTATCTATCTTTTTTGAGTAATTTCAGAACCATATCTGGAGTTTATATGCCCATTCCTATTATACCATTCGAATGGAAACCGCATTGTCACTCACTCAACGTGATACCAACGGTTTCGAGATTCGAATTTGCTACATCCTCCCTTGGCCCCCACAAAAATCAACCTATTAGCGCCTGGACTCGAGACGCACAAGCGAATGTTGCAAAAGTGAGTGACCAAGAATTTCCAATAATCATCATATGAACAGCACATTGATTGACTGTTCGACTCGACTCGACTATCGCTGCCAAGGAATTTTTTATTTTTGGAGCACTGGACAAGGAAATTCAATGCCACACGATTTGTAGAAACTAGTGAATGGTCTGTCTATGGAGTCAAGTCCACTCCACTAATCGACAGATTATGGAGAACTAGAGAACTCGAATATTCTACTCGTATATTCCACTGAAAATGCATTTGCAATTTGGTTCATTATTTTCATAATCTCGGTATGAATAGGCAACCGGTTCGGTGGTTCAGTGGTTCGGTGGTTCGGTTCTAGAGCCTTTAACACTCCACAAAGCACACACAAAAGCAGCTCTGGACGTGGCGTTCGCATGCGATTTTTCCGGCTTGCTTCACGTTCGGTGGGTGCATGGGCCCACAAACAAAATGTATGTACAATATTTGTATTTCATTTTTATTTTTGCATAAAATTACATGAGATATGTCGGTGCATGTCGGAGGCATGTGGCATGTGTTTGCATGTACCCTAACAGAGGAGGGTTGATTGGAAAGCACAAGCGAATGCTGCAGACAGAGAATGCCCAAAAATATTCAAAAACAAAATACATTGCGTGTGCTTGATTGCCCGATCCGGAGTTACTTATGGTGTAAGCTATGAAAATGGTGACTATATTTGCTGTGGCAGGGTATACCCACTTCGTTGTTGCCTCCAAAAGTGTCTCGCAAGTTGATTTTTATAAAATTTAAATAAAATATGCTTTATGGAGTACAGTGTGCCAGAGTGGTACGAGTGTACACAGATGTAAAGATGTAAATCAACTGACAAACAGACACAGAAAGGCAGTTACAGCAGCAGCAGCAGCAGCACAAGTGGCAGGCAGGCAGGCAGGCAGACAGGCAACAAAGCTGAACTCATTTCGCACAACAACAAAAATATTTTTCATTTGATTATGCACCTGAGCGACGACGGTGTGAGCAGAGCACAGAGTGTACCTGTAGACACACCTGTAATAAATATACATACAACGTTCAGTGGAAGGGGGACAACAACAATGGGCAGCAAATTTTTAAGCGCCATCAAACCGCTGAGGCATGACAACAAGCGACAGACCAGCCAGCGAGCGAGCGAGCGAGCGAGCGAACGAGCATCGACCATCCCGAACGCAATCCAAATCCCCTTCAGAGCCAGAGACAGAGGCAGACACTGACTGAAAAGCGAATGCGATTTATTTATCTATTTGCTTACTAGAAATTTAAGACTCTCCCGCAAGATAGCAGCAACGAAGGCAGCAGCGAAAAAAGTGGAGAAAATGTACATGCACCCAAAAGATGGCACAAATAAAACAACAGCCAAATAAACCATTTTTAAGAGCAATTCAATATTTGTTCAAGCCGAAAATAAAATCCACACATGGAACGAAATGAATTTCTAGGTGAAACAAGTTGGATTACTGACATTCTATTCACGAATAATCAAATGAACATATGAGTGAATACAGTCGCACGTTTTGAAGGTCAGCCAAAGATAAAGGAGAGGCACAGAAGGAAGTAGAAAGAGAGCGAGAGAGAAGAGAGAGGAGAGAGAGCATTCATTCATTCATTCAGTCATTAATTGATTGATTGACTCTTTAATTCGATCACTTATACCACTAATGAGTAGAGAGTAGGGGGGAGGGTTCAATGTAATTTATTTGAGGAAAGATTTGTGAATACTTTGAATCATTTGGAATGAACTTTACACTATTTAGCAGAGCCATAAATCCATTCTCCATCTGGAAACAAATGCTGAACTGCATTGAAATAAGCCTACTTATCCGAATC